AACATTTAGTGGGTAATTTATTACTGCAGCAGAGCATACCATGATCCTGACTGATACACCCCCTAAGATAACAACGCTTTCCCTGGAGTCTCCTTTCCCTTGGAGTCTCCTCCAAGTTTCCACCTTATTTTTTCTCCCCTTATTTTCCTTATTTTTCTCTCCATTGCTGGGTTACTGAAGCACAGGTCAACGTGCATGGCTGCTGCTTTCCTTTCCCCTCCAGCAATTATTCCGCAATCTCTGGTACCTGAACCACCACCTTACCAAATTATTCTCTGTAAGGCTCCCAGGGATTCCCAGAACTGCAGTTCAGCAACGGCTTCACTTCTGCAGTCGGCTGCCATGAGGGTCGACGATTCTATGCTTTTTCGACCTCTTCTCTGGTACCTTCTAAGGCCCTTGGTTACCTGGGTTCTCCTCCTACCTCACCAATGATCTTTTCTAGGCTGCTTTGCTGGCTGCCTATTCTTCCTCCTACCCCTAAATGTAGCCCTTGCCAAGGTCCAGCCTCCAGCCCTCTCCATTCTCTTTACTTTCTTTCTTGGTGATCTCACCCAAGGTATGACTTCGATTTCCTGTCTTTTAGTGTTGACTCCCAAATTTATGGATGGTCTCTGTTCTTACAGTGTCAGGCTAACAGTGGACACCCTGAGCTCTTCCTGAGCTCCGGGACCACAATTCTGACCACTGGGATGTCTTCATACTTAAAGTGTCCAAAACCAAACCCACCTACTTGCTCATTTTCTACAGCAGAAAGCCTGTTACCTCGCCCTCCATATTACATGGTTGTTCATTCTTACAGCTGCCCAGGCTTAACTCCTGGGGCCCTGTTCCTCCCACACATACATCCAGGCAATTCCCAGTTCTGGAAGATACTATTCTTCCTCCTCTTTTCCCGGCTCTTCGCCACTCTTAGAGTGTTGAGACTTGCTGACTTGCCTTTGCAATTCTGCACAGCCTCCTCTCTGGGTGCCCTGCCTTTTCTCCTCCAGCCTCCTTCATCTCCTGTCTGGCCAAGCTTCCTCAGGCTCCCATTGCCCCTTCCCCTTCAGTGGCTCTCCAGCGCCCCTGAGTCAGTCCTGAGCTCCTCAGCCTCTCAGTGGGGGCCTTGCACACTACAACCTTCTCAGTCTTATTCTCCCCGGGTATGCATCCCTCATACACCAGGAAGACTGGTTTATTTCTTGTTCTCCAAACACACCTAGTAAGTTGGTCCTTGCTCAAGGCATCCTGCCACTTGGGTTACCTTCTCCCAATCCCAGCTCCCATCTCTGTCTATAGAATCCTATCAACTGTTCAAACCTATTTTAAATACCATTTTCTCTAGAGAGAGCTTCTTAATTCCCTTGACCTTAGTGTTTGCTCCCTCTTTTGCATCCTTAGAGTGTTTTATTTTGTAACTCTCCTATGAGAAAATGAAAACACTCGTCCTTTCTTGCCACCATCTTTTGTCCGTGTGATGTTCTGCTCTTCAGCCTCCCAGCCAGGTGGTTCTTCTTAACGCTCTACCATATGGTATTTTTAGAAATTGAGTTTGTTGTGGCTCCCTTTCAGGAAGCGGCGCTCATGTCATGCTTGTGTTTTTAGTCATAAGGTTGACCCTCACTTCAAGCGGCCAATTAACAGTGAAGCCGGTGGCTGGGCTTTCCTGGGCCCCGTTTCTGTAAACACTTTTGAAGTGGGCGGTATGTATTTTCTGATACCCTGAGCTATACACATCTCCAAGTGAAACCTGGCTGTTTTGCATGTGCTTGGGGGCCTCCCAGCCAGGTGGTTCTTCTGGAACGTTCCAGCTATTCTCTTCCCTGTGAAACCCACCTCTCCCTCCTAGCCACATGAGAGGCTAGGTAGGTGTGTAAAAGGGAATTCAGTCCAAATGGGGCTCTGCATGCTCTAATGAGACCTGGGAGGCAGAGCTCAGAGAGCCTATCTGGTGGAAAACAGGCGCTGCTGTACTTACGTCAAAGCCATGACAAGTCTGGGCAGGAACTGAAAGAGGATGTGAAATCTGGAGGCTGAAATGCCAAGGGGAAAATCAGGAGCTATCTGAGCAGCGGATCCTGGGGGAGATAAATGAGGAATTCCTTCTGCAGTGGCCGTTGTGGCTGCTGGTGGGGGCTGGGTCCCAGCTCTGATGACCCAGCTCTCTGTGGCTTTCCATGCACAGTGCAAGGGTAGACTACTCACTGATGTGGAGTATCTACTCGTCCAGAAGCAGAGAAAGACACACACACACTGTAGACCAAAATCTCGTACCCTCTCAGGGCCCAATATGCCCAACAATGACTTGGAGGGCCTTCAGAGCCTCTGAGCACACAGTAGGGCAGCAGGAAGTGGTGGGCCAAGTTGGGGGGACTGAAGAATGTGTCCTCCCTCCGACCCCTCCCCTCACTTCCACAACTTTGATCAATCACGCGTGGGCCAAACCACAGTCAGCAGCAGGCCAGCTGGCTGGTGACACATGCTTTGGTCCAATTCTCTCATTTCACAGACCGAAGCTCAGAGAGGTTAAGGGGGCATAGCTGAGGTCACAAGCCAGTTTTGGGGGGAGACAGAAACTCAAGTCCAGGTTCCTTGGTGGCCACGCTGTGGCTCTTTCCACTCAATCTCTCTGCCCCTCGGTTTGAGGCAAGATTGAAAATTCTGGGAGACTTTTTAAAAGACTAAAGGGACTTCCCTGGTGGTCCAGTGATTAAGGCTCTGTGCTCCCACTGCAGCGGTCACGGGTTCGATCCCTGGTTGGGAAACTAAGACCTTGCATGCCGTGCGGCACGGCCACCAAAGAAAAAGACTGAAGAAAACAGGTTCCCTGTGTGTCTGCAAAGACATGTAAGAGAAGCAAAGGGAAAATAAGTGGCTCCTGTAAATGTCCATGTGGAAATCTGGCAATATGACCTGTAGAACCAGTGGAAGCTCAGCACAAAGTTCAATCCAGGGTTGAAAAAACAACACAGTTTTTTCATAACACTCAGCCTAGTTGAAACACAGTGCGTTCCAAAACAAACGAATTCTGTTGACTGAATAAATGTATTTTTATTCATTTCATTGTTTTTCACCTTACTGTTAACTCAAGGCTTTAAAAAAATTTTTTTAAATTAATTAATTAATTAAATTTATTTTTGGCTGCGTTGGGTCTTTGTTGCTGTGCGCGGGCTTTCTCTAGTTGCGGTAAGCGGGGGCTGCTCTTCATTGTGGTGCATGGGCTTCTCATTGCCGTGGCTTCTCTTGTTGTGGAGCACGGGCTCTAGGCACGCGGGCTTCAGTAGTTGTGACACATGGACTCAGTAGTTGTGGCTCACAGGCTCTAGAGCGCAGGCTCAGTAGTTGTGGCACAGGGGCTTAGTTGCTCTGTGGCATGTGGGATCGTCCCGGACCAGGGCTCGAACCCATGTCCCCTGCATTGGCAGGCGGATTCTTAACCACTGCGCCACCAGGGAAGTCCAAGGCTTTTTAAAATTTATTTATTTATTTATTTATTTTTGGCTGCATTGGGTCTTCGTTGCTGTGTGTGCGCTTTTCTCTAATTGTGGAGAGTGGGGGGCTACTATTCACTGTGGTGCATGGGCTTCTCATTGCGGTGGCTTCTCTTGTTGTGGAGCACGGGCTCTAGGCGCACAGGCTTCAGTAGTTGTGGCACGCAGGCTCAGTAGTTGTAGCTCACAAGCTTAGTTGCTCCGCGGCGTGTGGGATCTTCCCAGACCAGGCATCGAACCCGTGTCCCCTGCATGGGCAGGTGGATTCTTAACCACTGCACCACCAGGGAAGTCCCCAAAGCCTTTGTTTTTTTTAAACAAAGCTATTATCATTGTTCAAAATTTGGTTTCCAACATGGTGAATTTTTTTTTTTTAATTCCCAAAAGCAAAGCATTCTCTGTTCTTGGATCAGTGACTCCCTGAGGTCAGAAGAGGGAGCACCTGTTTGCCAGGAAATGGTTTTCCATGCGGCTCTAGAAAGGCAAGCATTCCCTGATGGAGCCTTTGCCTTATCTGGAGTTAGAGTTGGTCCAGGTCCACTGAACGGCTCAGAGGCAGCCCCCTCTCCGTCCTTCAGGAGCTCAGCCAGGTGCTCTGGCTCCCTCAGCAAAGGCCTGATGTAGTAACAGGACAGTGGGGCTTATCACAGCCTGGGAACCCAGGGCCTTGGCCTCTGTAGTGGGACGAACACTAAAGTCCTTTGAGTCCCAACCCCAAGAAAGAGACTTTCGCCTTCATGACTAAGTGGGTGCTTCAGTGCACTTGGAGGGGGTCAACCAGACCCAAAGATGCCTGGCTCCTTGGCCACCCCAGTGCAATTGGAAGAAGGCTCAGCCAGTGGAATCCCCCAACAGCTCACCTTTATGCTGCTTGGGTACGTCTGAGCTGAAATGCCCTTTCAGAGAGCCTCACGCACCAGCATTGGACATATCTTAATGTACATCCTGCTCCTGCATCCCAGGTGGTGGTGCAAACACTCTGGGGGGTTCCATCCACAGTAACCTGAACACACTTACCTGAGCAAGGTTCGTCTCCCCCAGGTTCTCTCTCTTCTCTGAGCCCCATCTTATGTTCCCCGCACTGCAGCCCCTCTGCTACTTACTCTGTTTCCATCTCTTACTGGTGGTTCCTCCTCCCTGTCCTTCCCCCCAGCCTTGGGCTGGGTTTGGACCTTTCTGATTCTTTGCCCAACGTTGCCATCTTTACACCCACCTCTCTGCTTCCCCATTCCTGACCCACCAAACCTGCACCCCCAACCAAACCTGAAATTTAACACTCCTGCATGAGACTCCCTAAACCATGCCCCTTCTTTGAAGCTCTTTCCTGACACACCCACCATCCATACCCCTCCTCCTGGTGTTTTTGTTGGTTCCCTTTCCTTCCCTGTGGGATGAGCTGGGGAAAATGGCAGTGATGCCCACCATGGCCTTTCTCCAACTAGATGAACTCCCTGTTGTATAGAAAAACACAGGGCACAGAGGAAAGTCTAAGCTGTATTTTTCAAATCATGAGTCAGCACCCATTAGTGGATCCCAAACTCATTTTAGTGGATTGCAACCAACATTAAAAGGAGAACAAGAAGTAGAAAGAATAGAAAATACCAAAGTGCATCACTCATAGTAAGGATAAGGATTGTTTTGTGACACTTCAGTTTCACTCTGTTTGTTCCAAACCTCAATGTAAAATAGATTTCTTACTGTGGGTTGCAGTCTGAAAATGTTTGAAAGTCCCGGTCTACCAAAGAACCAACCAAAACACTGAAGACATGCTATTGAAAGCAAAGGAAGTGAGAGGTGGTTAAAAAAATTTGCATTGCTATGGAGGCTCAACGAGCCCCTGTATTCCCCCTGTAAGGGCTGTGGGTGGGGTGCCCACTCTCCTGATATCGGAGGGGGGAGGCGTGTTTAGGGGGTGCTCCCAGGAAAGGTCTGTAGAAACGGCCCAAATTCACACTCAGCACTCTGACTAAAATTTGTATACAAACCAAAGATTGAAATCTTAATTTGTTGTAATCAAGAGCAAAAGAAAACTTAAAAGGAATATGAAGCCACCAGAGAGTTTTCCAGACAGCTCCACCTGCTACTTCTCCAGCCCAGAAAAACAAAGCCCAGAGGACTTGTCTGATGGGAGTGGGGTCCAGATGAAATTTGGAAATCTACCAGCTTCTTCCATGAGATCATCAGATGCTACCACTTCAAGTGCGTTGGGGCGTGTGTCCCGTCCCCGTGGACAGGCGGGCACCCCCTGCATCCTGGCTTTGGGCAGGCGCAGACAAGCCCAGGGTTACTGGCAGTAAAAGGTGAGCACGTTTTCCTGGTTTCCTCGGATCAGGACGACCGGCGGTCTGAGGTCCTGGGACAGCGTCTCCAGCCAGGCCATGTAGAGCGAGCTCGGGCACTTCCCCTTCCTCCCTATGGGCAAGGTGCTGTGGGGCAGGAAGAAGCAGCAGATGGGGAATTACCAAGGGGCCTTCCCCACACGGCCCAGTTCCTGGTTTGCTTTCTGAACAGCGTCTCTGTGTATTGGCCCCTTCAGAGCTCTTTCTTCTCAGCCACCCTAAGAATGACCTGCTGCTCTCCTTGAAAGCATGACCTGAAACGTACCTTCAGCCGCAAAGCATTTCTTTTCTTTTTTTTTTGGCCGCGCCCCACAGTTTGTAGGATCTTAGTTCCACGACCAGATATCGAACCTGAGCCCCGGCAGTGAAAGCGCTGAGTCCTAACCACTGGACCGCCAGGGAACTCCCACAATGCATTTCTACACAAAGCCATGGCCTGCAAGGTCCCCATGATCTGGTCCCCACCAGCCTCCACAACCTCACCTCCCACCACCCGCAGCCTTGCTCACACCGCTACAGTCACAGAAGCTTCCTTTCCACTCCTGAAAAAAATGGCAAGCTTGCTCCTGCCCCAGGGCCTTGGCATGTGATGTTCTTTCCACCCAGAAGGCAGTGGCCCCAGCTCTTCACCGGGTTGGCTCCTTCGATTCCCTCAGGTCTTGGCTCAAGGGCACCTCCTTCTCTGATCACCCTCTTCGATAACATCTTCCCATCTCTCTTCATCATGTCACCCTGTTTCATTATCTTCATAGCACTTCACACTCTCAAATCCTATTTTTATTTATTTGTGTGTTGTCTGTCTCCCCCCACTAGACGTATGTTCGCTCACGAGCAGGCTGGGTCTGTCTTATCCGCCTGTGCCTAGAACACAGTCTGACACAGTGAGGCTGTATGCCACTCATCCGACCACTCAGGTCATGCCAGCCTCGCCTCTCCAGCTACACACCTGCCTGTGGCCACAACAAAGTGATATGTTCACGTGTTTCAGCTGAGCGGCCTGGTCCTGCTCCCTGCCCCGTAGGTAAGGCCCTGGGAGCAGGACTCCGTTGTCGCCTGGGGAGGGCCCCTTGTCCGAACTGCAATGCTCTGCAAATAACAACATGCCCTGGGAATGCTCTTCAGCCACATTTTCACGGCTATGTTGGGAAGTGACTTTTCTACCACACTGAGATTCCAAAGACACGTGGTGATGCCTGCAGCCGTCCTGCTCTTGGCTCTTGGAGGTGGCAGCATCGCAGCTGCCAGCTGGCGCTACGTGAAGCTGGGGCACCAGCACCTTACGTGGGACTGCATTTTGTTTTCCCAAAGTACATCCACAGGTACTATTTCATCTGAACCTCAGAACCACCCTGGGCAACAGGGCAGCCAGGAGGGTGCTGTGCGACACTGGGCTTCAGAGCCTGGCTCTGGGGTCAGAGAAGCTGTAGGAGTCATGGCTTTGCCACTCCCTCAGCCACGTGGCTTTGACAAATGGCTCACTGGCCCTGAGCCTCGGTTTTCTCTTGCCCGAAGTGAGAACACACATGCCTCCTTCATGGATGCTTGTAAGCTCTAACGAAAACCCAACTTAGGAAGGGTGCTGCACAACAATGCTCGCACAGAGTAAGCACTTCACGGTGTCAGCAGTACTGTCACCATGTATTACTATTTACCAGCTCGAGATGACCAGCCAGTGAGTGGCAGAGCTGGGACTTGACCCGAGGTCCTGGGATCTTTCCATCCCAGCGGCCCCTGCTCACTGCAACTCCCACCTCCACTGAGAAGGTGAATTGAGGTCCCTAAACAGCTGTCCCTTATTTAAAATTCCATCCTCAAAGCTTCACTTGCCACAAACACTATCTTCCCTTAAAAAGCAAGGTCCCCAGGATGGGGGAACCCGGGGGGAACAAGGACATTCCATTAAGCCAGTGTCACTTTAGTTAGTAGACTGTGTTTATGTTTGTCTGGTGCCTTTCCAGGGAAACGGGAAGTGGGAATACGGAAAGCAAACTTTCCTGATTTAACAGTTACGCTAAAGGCTGGAAATGCCCTCCCGGAACTTCTACATCATTTTCCGGGACTGAATTCAAAAACTTCAAAGGCCACGAGGGGACTGGTGGCTGTGTTATCCAGGGCAGGGGACTCCCATAGCTCCTGCTGTGGCCTTTCCCTCCTGGAGCGGACCCTGTGCACCTGTCCATGCTACTGATTCCCTCGGCAATCTCCCCCAGTGCCAGCCAATGACACGCTCTATTTATGTTCACAGGATGTGTGTGCTGTAAGTGACTAATCTTTAGAAATAAAACTGCTCCAGAACAAAGGAGCTTCTTGTTCAGAACTGCATCTCTTAGCCACAAAGAAAGGCAGCCTTGGATCAAACCTAGATGCGGAAATATAACCGTGCTTCAGAATCAGCATCTCAGGCTTCAAAACCCAGTTGCCACTTGACAGCTGTGAGATCCCGGCAGGTGCTGAATTTCTCTGAGACTCAGTTTCCTCATCTCCTAAGTGTGTGCGCTGCGGAGGGGATGGGGGTAAAATAGAACCACTTCATAGCGTTTTGAAAATTAATAAGGCCCAGTGGGTTGGGATTTGGGGATTAGCAGATACAAACTATTATATGTAGAATGGATAAACAACAAGGTCCTACTGTATATAGCACAGGGAGCTATATTCAATATCCTGTGATAGGAACTTCCCTGGCGGTCCAGTGGTTAAGGCTTTGCCTTCCAGTGCAGGGGGTGTGGGTTCGATCTTTGGTTGGGGAGCTAAGATCCCACCCGTCTCGTGGCCAAACAGCTAAACATAAAACAGAAGCAATACTGTAACAAATTCAATAAAGACTTTAAAAATGGTCCACATCAAAAAAAGAAACTTAAAAAAAAAGCCTATGATAAACCATAATGGAAAAGAATATGAAAAAGAATGTATATATATATATGTATAACGTAATCACTTTGCTGTAGAGCAGAAATTAACACAACATTGTAAATCAACTATACTTCAAAATAAATGTTTAAAAATAAAAAAATAAAATTAATAAGGCCCAATGCCTTGAGTGTCATAGAGGCCCAACCGATAAAATGCAATGTCGATCACTGTTATTTTGACCACTACTATTTGGCTTTGAGGAGGGAGACTTTATAGAAGAAAGAGGGGTCTAGACCCAAAAGTTATGCCAGAAGTAGGCTGTTAGTGTGGTCAAAGTTTGTTGGGCTGGTTACAAGGCTGCTTTATCAGCAGTGCAGGTTAAGTTGAGCTCAAATGTGGGCCGTTAATCAGATAAACCGCTGATTAGCAGACGGCAAACGAACCAGTTCTGCCTCAAAGCTGCTCTAGAAAAGAGTCCAAGTGCGCTGACGTGCTGGAAAATGTGATTTTTGTCATTTCATGGAGGCTTGGGAGGGTTTTTTCATCCTTAGAGTTTCTGGGAAATGCAGGCTCCTGGGCCCCACCCCAGGCCCTGATCTGGAAGGAATTGAGGAATTTGCCGTTTTCCACGGTCTCCCGGTGCTTCTGATGAAGGTGACCCTCAGAGTGAACTTTTACGGGCACGTCTCCGGGCTGGAGACTGAGCAGCGCGGCTGCTGCGCCCTCCCAGTGGATCTGGCTTGACAGCCAGGGCCCCTTTGGGCAACAGCTGCGGCTGCCGCCATGCGGTGGGACGCTGTGTGCAGGCCTCTTCTCTAAGGTGACTGGACTCCTGATTATTTGTATCAGCCAATCCCACAAAGACTGGTGGGTGGGGGACTGGTTTTCCCTATGAGATCCAGGGCGTGGAGGAGTGGGAAGGGAGAGGTGACAGCAGGTAGTCACCTCCTTGGATGAAATTCCTCATCTTACTGCTTGAGAGATGGACTCATTTTAGCGGCGAATAAACTTAGAATCATAGCATGTTAGCGTGAAAAAGAATCTTGGAAATAATTTAGTTGAACTCTTCTCTATAATCAGGGAAACTGAGTCTCAGAGAAGGAGGGTTACCTGCCCAAGGCCACACAGCGTGCTGGTCGATGGCAGAGACAAAACGCAAATCTGTTTTGGAGGTGGCACTCAGGAAGAGGTGGTTTGGCACACCCACACCCCCTGGCTGGCACACAACAGGTACCACACCCAGGGAAAGTCGGAGAGCCATCCCAGGATGAAGCCATTGCCACCGTCTTGCCGTCTGACCCAGTCAATGGCCAGGCTAACCTGGCCCTCAAAACATTTTCTGCAAGATGTTAGCCAGAGGCTTGGAGATAAACCCACTTTCCTTATACCACAGTCCCCACATCAAAGGCAACACGAAGCACTTTCTTTGTACAAAAAATGATCTTCCTAAAAGCTCCAGGAAGCATGGCTTCATAGAGCCATCTTCGTGGGCAGCCACCTGTGCATTCACAAAATCCCCCACTGAGAAGGGTCCCAGGCTGGGCTTCATGCTCTGCTGTCACTATCTTGACATTCTTAATCCCTTTTGAACAAGGGGCCCCACCTTTTCATTGCACGCGGGGCCCTAGAAATCGCGTGCTCCATCTTGATTTCTGGGTACGAACAAACAGGTTCCACAGGCTTCCCTGCTGTCCTGCGGAATCCGGAATCCGCAGGTGGCTCACCCCAGGAAATGTCAGGTACTCCGCTTGGCAAATGCCCACATCGCCTCTTGAGCTGGGCCTTTCCCAGCCATGGTCTGCCACCCTGAGCCTCCCTGTGCCCCTGTTACCTTCCCCTCATCTTCCACTCAGCCTCAGCCAATACCTGCCCTAGCGAGGCAGCTCCTAACCAGACACAAGCAGCAGCAACGGAAGCTCGAGGAGCTGACAGGCACGGAGACTGGAACAGCCAGGGCTGGGGCCGGGCTCTGCTTCCACTGCCTAGACCTGGCACCAACATCAATTGGGGGTGGCCGGTGGCCAAGGAGGGCTGGGTGGTTCCCAAACAACTAGGAATCGATTTTCTTCTGGAATGAGCTGGGTCCCCTTTGTCAAGCCAAGTTTGGTAGGAAAAAGCAGTGGATAAGGGAAAAGCGGTGGTGAGGGGAGTCGGTGAGATCCGGGACACTGGGGCCCCAAGACCTCTGCCAGCTGGCGCTCAGGCGAGGGGCATGGGGCAGATGCAGGCCCGGCCACGTGCTGAGAACCCACCCGGGCTGTGTTTACAGGAGCTTGGGGCCCTGCATCCTCACAGGGGAAGGCTTGGGTCCTCAGCCAGTGGCCACCCCTGCAGAGCTGACACCTTTGGGCTCGGCGACAGACTTCTCCTTCTGCAGGGCGCTACTTACATGATGACCAGAGCGGCATCCCGGGAGTAATCCAGCAGAATCTCGTTCAGCCTCACCTGCCGAAGGGACTGGGCGAGGAAAAGCCACGTGGTCACTTCCCATGTCTGGTGAGTGGTCCCGGCCAAGCCCAGTGGCCTCTTTGAACATCTCAAACCAGGTGTGTGAATTGTTGCCCCTAAATTATTATAGACTCTCCCACCCCCATGAAGGTAAGTGAATGCCAAGCTCACCTCCTGGAGAAGCCCCCTGGGTGTTTCCCTCCTGACTTTATTACCATGACCAGCAGGATCATGGCAGGGAAGAACCCCTCACATGGCTGGGAAAGCTGGGTTCAAATCTCAGCCCTGAGGGTTCCTGGCAGAGAGCCTGAGCAGGTAACTCACCTCCCTGAGCGTCACTGTCCACAGCTGTGCAATGGGTACAACAGTGCCCTCTCCCGGGGAATTTGGGGAGGCCTGAGGGAGATAATCTATGCAAAAGCTCCAGGCCGAGGGGAAGCACTTGATCAGGCGGACTTGGAGCAGGGGTGGAGCTGCTCCACCTCTCCCGGAACAGAGTAGGCAAGAGCCTTCTGTGGACACTGATGCTTTACTCAGCATTTTCCAAGGAGCTGGGCAGCTGTGGGAGGGTCTGGGGTCTCAGGGCTGCTGGGTCAGGGAATTCCCCAAAGCTGGGGTGGGCGCTGGGTTGTGTGGGGCTCCCTCCCATACTAAGGCCTGTCTCCAAATTGTTCAGAAACGACTGACACTCAGGGTCTCATAGTGGACGGCCACCCCACGTGAGAGAATGGAAAACCGAGGGGAAGTGAGTTCACGTAAACGTCCCAAGGTCGGCATTTGGGTGGAATCATTCTTCGTTGTGGACCCGTCCGGTGGGGTGCAGGGTGTTTAGTAGCATCCAGGCCTCTACTCGCTAAATGACAGTAGCAATCCCGTCCCCCCCCACTGGAGGTGACAGCCAAAAATGTCTCCAGAAGTCACCAGATGTCACACTGCCCCTCAGAACCACTGATGCAGAGCACACGGGGAGCAGAACTGTGGTCCCCAGGCCCCCAACTGCTCACCCTACCTAAAAATGGCCTTGGCAGCCACCATTCTCCTTTAGGCCCTATCAGCGTCCTGCAGATGCTGCCTGGGAAGCGGGGCGGGGTCTACAGCTAGGGGGAGAAGATCAGCCAGCTTTGCTGGCACACAGGACAAATTGTGCCTTGACCTTCACCACCTGCCTTATGCATCCCTTTCTGCACACATGGAGGAACAGGGGAGGGGAGGGAGAAGGACTCCAGGCAGTCCATTGCCACGGCCAGGGGGCGGTGACTCAAAATGGGCAGGGGGACCAGGCTCCCACGCCAAGGAGGCTCCGAGATCAACCACTGGGTCACCCGTCAGCCCGAGCATGTATGGCTTGAGGACACCTCAGAGGCTTGGGGCAGGGAGAGTAGAATCCAGGGTTGGGGAGGGGGTTAAGGAAGCCCAGGACAGATGGGGCACAGGTGCTGACCCTGGGGAGCCCCTGGACCCCCACCCCACCCCAGCAAGGCCCTTCTCTCTCCTGTACCTTGATTCTATTCCTGTTAATCTCCTCATCCGAGATCTTCCAGGGGCAGTCCCGCCTCATCTCGGTGACCGTGGCCTCGTCTTTGAAACCGTCATTCAGGCGGAAGGGCGCAATCATGTCCTCAAACCGCTTGGTGCTGGGGACAGAGAGAGCAAGTGAGACCGGGTGAGATGCCCGTTTCCAGGGGAATCAGGTCCTCAGAGGGAGATGGAAGTGGGTGCCACGGGGACATACATTTCAGGCTAAAACCCATTCTGACATTGCCTCTTACATCAAAGCAGCCTCTGTGTTGAATTCAGCACTGACGGGTGGGTCTGACTTTCAACAGAACTTCCACAAGTCATCCACGAAGACCAACCTGTGATCCACCTCCATCCACCTGTCCATCCCCCAGGTATTTACTGAGCACTATTCTGTGCCAGGCTCTGTGCTACACAACAGTGAACAAACCAGACAACATACCCCACCCTCACAGAGCTCACAGTCTGCTGGGCAACAAATAAGCAAATAAATACAGATTGGAAGTATTATGAAGGCACAAACTGAGTACTGGGATGGGGACTAATTGGGCAGGAAGACCTCCCTGGACCCAAGGATGCCCGTCCTTCTGAAACCAGCTATGCACAGGGCAGGGGGTGCTGGAGCAAACAGAACTGAAGGTGCAAAGGCCCTGAGGCAGAAGCATGCTTGGGCTGTTTGAGGAGCAGCGAAGGAGCCCATGAGTCCGGAGTAAGGCAAGTGCAGGGGAGAATGGGATGCCAACCAGTGTAAGTCAGGTAAAGTCAGGTAAAGGAGGAGCCCAAACATGCTTGGGCTGTTTGAGGAGCAGCAAAGGAGCCCATGGGTCCGGAGCAAGGCAAGTGCGGGGGAGAATGGGATGCCAACCAGTGTAAGTCAGGTAAAGGAGAAAGAGCCAGCAAAGGATACTGAAAGGAGGAGCACAGAGGTAGGTGGGAACCAGGAGAGGGTGGTGTCTTAGAAGCCAAAAGAAGGACTGTTTCAAGAAGGATCACTGTATCAAATGCCACTGAGAGGCAGAGAAAGATGAGGACAGCAGTGGGCTCTGCGGATCTGGTGGTGCGGAGGTCACGGCCGAGGCTGGAGAGAATGATTTCAGCGGAGCAGTGGGAGGGCAGCCAGACTGGAGTGAGCTGGAGAATGAGGGATGGGGAGGAAGCGGCCACAAAGAGTGTAGCATCACTTTGGAGAAGGTTGGCTGTGCAAGGGAGGAGAGAAATGGTCCAGGAGGTGGAGGCAGATGTAGGGGCAAAGGGGGGCTTAAATATAATATGTGCTGGATGGGGTCTGCACGCTGGCTTGCGCTATCCTCTGCACTGAGGAAGGTCTTCCCCCATCTCTGTTCACGGCCCTTCTCAAGGCTCTGCTCATCCACCAGCAGAGACGACCCTATATCCTGCTGTGCATTCTGGTCCCTGTCTGCAGCATTCTGATGGCTCTTGATATCCTCCCTACACCTAAGCCGGGGTAAACCCTGCAGGACAGGGCTGCAATTCACTCATCTCTGCCCCTGCAGCTCAAGCACAGCCCTGAGAGAATGGGAGAGTCAGTATATCCGTCACTATTAAATAGTTCCTTTCTTCTCTTCTTGATTTCCTTCCCTCTCCAGGTAAACAAGGGCTAAAGAGGTCAGGACAGACCTTACTTTATTGAGAAGATAGAGTCCTGGAAAACCTCACATAGACAGATTGAGATAAAACAATCCTATTGTAAATGTCTTCTTTTAAGAATATAAAATTGAACCATTAGGAGAGTAAATCATCCCTTCTGGCCCCACAATTGAGCCCTGATACAAATTCACACAGGAGTTTGCTTAAAGTCCACCAACTTGCCATTGCATGGGCAGGCAGGGGGAGTGGTCCCTCAGACCATTAGACATCTTCCCCCCTCCAAGTGCCAGTGGGTTAACATAACATCAGGGGCCGCAGCTGCCATGTTTCTGCCTCAGGGCCTTTGCACCTTCCGTTCTGTTTGCTCCAGCATCCCTCAGCCCCGTGGAGGGGACGTGCCTCTGACATGGCCCCTGCAGAAGGAGCTACCCTTTAGCTGTGTATTTCGGGGCATATGATTCTGCCATTCCTGGCCACAGCTAACTGGACCAAAGGTAGCCAAGAAATAGGCCTTCCAGTGGACTTTACCTTAGCTTGGCAGGAAGGGATGAGCTGGGCCAGTCACAGTCCCTTTTTTAGGCACTTAAATTAAGCAATGCCCAGAGAAGGAAGGAGGCAGCTTGTAGCAGACTGGGACTGCAGGGAAAGTTCGAGACTCAGAAAGAGCTCGGAAGCTACAAGCAGGCAGAAGCCACAAATCTGAAGAAAACCAGTGGAGGTAAAATCAGCCTTTTGTGAATAGCAAGCAGTCTGGGTTCCTGAAGTGTGAAGCTGGAGACTCCCTCAGCCCCCAGGTCTGTGGGGTAGGTTGGGGGGGGGGGGGTCCCTGGCAGACGAAACACCGGCTTCTGCTGGAGGGGCAGGATAGCCATGATTTGTACCAGTAAGAGCTTCAAAAACACTTGGTGTGTGATAAAGCGTAAATGTGAACATTCTTTGGCCTCCCGCCCAGGTGTGTTTCTGGCAAAGACCACAGCTCTGATATGCAAAGGACCAGCAGGCAGGGGGAAGAAACACAAACAGAAATTAACGGCTGCACACTCGACCCTTCCTCTTTCTTTCCATGAGCCCAGTCTAGGTGGGGGCAGGAAGGACCATGTCCTTGCCCTTGGCTCACCAGAGAGAAAGGGCCGACCCTTCTGCCTGGAACCCCCAGCACAGAAAACTCACTGCTCAGCCTGCGGCTTCTGGTTGATGTCGGGAAGGATGTGAACTTCGTGGAATCCCAGCCGGAACTTGCTCAGCAGAGAAATGATCCTGGGAGATGGAGATTTTTTTTTTTTAATGTATTCATTCATTCAATGAGTTTTTATTGAGCTCCTGTGGAGGATATAGCAGCAAGCAAAACAAACCCTGCCCTCGGGGAGTTTACACTCTAACCTGGGAGGAGGGCAGACAATAAATAAATATTGATAAAGCAGGTCAGGTAATGATGAGTGACATGGGAAGGGAGTTGTCCTGAGTATCTGGTGGCCACCTCTGGACTAGGGCGCCTTACATTTTAATGTCGGAGCACCTGCTGGGGATTGTGTTACAGTGCAGATTCTGATCCAGCTGGTCTGGGCTGGGACCTGGGATTCTGCATTTCTCACCAGCTCCCAGGTTATGTGAGGCCTGCTGGTTCACCGGCCACACTTTGAGAAGGAAGGGTCTAAGGGACGGGAGGCGAACTGCAGGAAACTCCTCAGGTGGCTGAGGAAACAGATAACACACATGAACTAAGTACAGAACCAGGAGCAGCAAGCCAGACGGCCCTGACTTTGCATCCACAGGGAGGAGACGCCAACTGTGGTTTGCGGCAGTCAGGGAAGGCTTCACAGAGGAGTTGGTGATCTGGCTGGATGGTGTATGGTGGGTAAGACCTATAGGCCAAAGAGGGTGTCCGCACTGGAATCACTCAAGGAGCCTTCCAAACAGTACACGTGCCTCGGCCCTAGCCCCCCCATTGCATCAGAATCCCGGGGCAGGACACAGCGTTGGTGATGCCCCAGGACGAGGTGGTGGGGAGTGAGCACCCCAGGAGGGGAGTCCAAATGACCAAAGACATGGGGGTGCAGGGGATGGTGTGGAGCACGCTAGGGGACAAAAAGGAGATAAGCCCGAAGGAGCAGGCTGGGGCCCATCTGTCAAGCCACTGCTGGTCCCTGAACTTGGGAGTGAACTTAGGAACGCAGAGCTGTGGGCAAACATCTTGGTGTGCGGTGCTGGTTGGCAGGCCTGGGCAGGGCCTGGGTGGAGGCAGTCATGAGGAAGGCAGAGGACGTGGCCTGGTCAAGAGTCAGCTGGGGGACAGAGGAGATTTCACACCCTTTGCTTGAAAGACATCCTGTGACCCCACAGTGCTGCAGCCTTGAACTAAACTAAACCTGCCGAACCCAGCTTTCAGTTGGAGCTGGAACAGGAAGCCGAGAGGGCAAAGCAGCCTTCGAGGTGCGTTTACCTTTTGGAGAGCACAGGGAAGCTGATGCTGCGTCTCCCAGGCAGTGCTCTCCTCTGCATTGCTGAGAAGGGCCCTCCGGTAGAGAAGTTCTCAGTGGGGGATGAGGACAACGCGATGGGATTGCTGGTCACCCTTAACTCACACAGTGGGTGATTCAGAAGGGGTCGTGGGGATGTGGTCCTGGCACAGGACTAAAGTGGCACAAGCCACGGGGTCCTGACCCTGGGGCGTCATGGCGGGCACTAAAGGCTGGGCAGGGTTTTCTCTCTGGTTAATTAACTGCATGATTTGAGGCAAGCCACCCACCCCGTCCTTCCCAGTCCGGCTGCACCCTGCAGCAGTCCTCCATCCTACGACCTTAGACCTCACTTGACCTTGCTCTAAAGAAGCAGGTGCCCAAATGTAGGCCCATATGTGCCACCTGCCCAATTCCTGCCACCTCCACACCTGTGCACCTGCCTACTATTTACTTCCTTCTCAGCTTAAGTCGACTCACATTCTTACTTAGACACATCCTGAAAGGAAATTGTCATCACAATTTAAACGGAAAACCAGCATCTCTTGCCAGAAAGACATGACCAATAAAGCCAGTAAACCAATGTCACTACATTCTGGTGGATCCCATTTCCTGCCGAGCACTCTAGCCAGGCCTGCTTCCTCTTGTTTAGACAGAGAATCAGCCACAGAACTGGAGAATTAAGTCACTTCTCACCAAGAGATTCTTCAGGATTTTCCGCCCCTTATCCTGGCCACTGAAGTCACCTCTGGTCTCACCACGGGCAGCAACCCAAGCTTGGGGGGACTTTGCCCTGAAAGATTCTAAGCTCCGCCTCATTTCTGAGGAGGAGGGGCCTTCTCCATCCTTCATTTCACACAAATCTCCTTGAGGTTTGTGGGTTTAAAATTTAACAGCTCTCCCTGTCATGGCCGGGACTGGGGCATGTGCATCTTATTAAAGGGGGACAGGACACCAAAACCACCTCTGAAATGGAGAGAAACCTGCTCCTGCCCAGAGCTTCCTCACCACGGCTGTGACCTGAGAGGGGCAAGCCCCTGGGGGCAGTGGAGTCGGGGAGGCAGGCTGGGGCAGTGCTGGGGTGACACCTACCGCTCCCGCGCGACCCACACAGTGCCCCCCACTTACGCCTTTCTCTCCTGGTCCAGCCTGTTGATCTGGCCCCCCACGAACACGCGGGTCCTGCATTTATTCCATCTCTTCTTGCGGCCGAGGAGATAGGGGATGAGGAGGGTGAGGCCTGGCAAAGAGGGTCTCATGAGTCAAGAGGAAAATGCTCTCAGGATCCAGCCCTCTCTGAGTTCCTGCCCCGCTCTGCCACTAGCAAACCGCTTCCCCTCTCTGGACCTCAGTGTACCCACCTCTGTAATGAGCGTGTCAGACTAAACCAGGGGTGAAACGCGGGGCTCTGTGGGCTGGGGTTTATGTGGCCTGCACGATGCTTTTAAACAAGTGAGCTGGCATTTAACAATTGGGATATTTCACACGTAAATCTAGATCGCTGTCACTTATCACTGTGTAATCCACAAATGACCTCACTACTCTGTGCCTCAGTTTCCTTATTTGTAAACGGGGTTAATAATCGTTCCTACCTGGGGATTGCATTAGGTTAACCCATGCAAGCACTTAGTGTCAAGCATACAGTAAGTGCTCATTCAATACTATCTATCACATCCTATATACAATAGGATATATCTTACTGGAACAGAACATTTTCTCTGTATCTAGGACTCAATCAGGGTGGGAGCAATAAAGTTGAGAATGATATGCTTTAAGAAAAATGGGAGAGAGTGTTTTTCTTTGGGAAGTGAAGGATATCCCTACAGCTTTCCTGTGCACCAGGCCATCTCTCCCATTTATGTCATGTGCCTGTGACCCCAAGGGCCTGTCCGGTCTGAAGGTTCCACCTCATGTTGACCTCAGCTGCTCCCCTAAGTCTCTCATTTTATAGTTGAAAAGCATGGCGCCAAGAGAGGGGCCCAGCCAGGCTCCTGTGAGCCCAGGGTCCCCTATTTCCCTTTGCTGGGCTCCAAGGTCCCGCCAGAAGCCTTGTCGAGAGTGACCAGGAGGGGCATGCTGAGAGAGTAAGTTATAGAGGGGAGACGGCTGGGGGGGATCCAGCGTCCTGGGGGCGCTGACCTCCATCGTCGAATAGCCAGTAGATGTCGATGGTCTTCTTTCCCTGCTCCGACTGGAAGATGGTGCTGGCCTGCTCTTCCTGCACCAGGCCCTCGGGGTCCACTGCAGGAGCAGAGGGGCAGGTCACATGGGAGCAGAGCCCATCCAAATACCCGAGTGTGTCTGAAAACAGAGCGAGCTGCCCTGGGAGGTGGGCTTGCTGTCACTGGGGCTGTGCACGTGGTGGCCGGAAGCCCCTGCTGCAGGCATGCACTGGGGGACTGGCCCGGAGCACCGCCCATGGGCCCTCCTGATGCCGAGACTCCAGGAGCAGGGACCCGGGATGGGCAGGGCTGGGATGCGCCCCTCCCCTGCTCCCAGCTTCTCTCTCCTGGGATTCTGGTTGGCACTGGGGGGTTGGGGTCATTCTCTTAACAACTCCACTGTGCCCCTCACAGATGCGCACAGGATGCCCCCAGCTCCTGCACTGCAGGTTCCCCTGCCTGCCAGAGAATCGCTGCCCCTCCTGGTTGGAGCCTGGCCAGGGGGACCTCGGAGGGGTTGGGACTTGGGCTCCAGAGCTCACTGGGTGGGGGTCCCATGATGCCTGGGCACTGAATTCTCCAGCAGGGCTGGCAGTCTTTATCCTGCTCCCCGCCCCACCCCCCGACTCCCTGTTGCTTAATCCCAGGGGTCTCAGGCACCACTGTCACGAGCAAAAACCTCCTGCCCTTGCCCAAGTTCCCCGGTGGCCCGTCACTAGCTGCTCCCAGGGTGAGAGCGCCCTGAGCCTCTGAGTGGGTGGGACTGACCCGTGCCGGAGACAGACGGCCTGGCTCCACTGGCTCTGGCTTCCTTGCCATCCTCCGCTGGGTCAAACACGGGGTTAACTGCAAAAAGGGGGGAGCTCTGTTCCCAGGCTCTCCTGCCTGGGGCTCTTCCGGGCTCCCCCTTACCCTGGGAAGAACGTCCTGACTCTCAGCTTCCACAGATCTGGCCTCTGCCTCCTTTCATGCTTCGGCCCCACCCGGCTTCCTTCTGCTGCTCAGACAGGCTACGCTCCTTCCCACCAGGCCTCAGTGGTGGGTGGCGTGGTGAGTGGTCCCTGGGCCGGGAGCCCTCTTTCCCCAGCCCTCCCCTTCTAGCCACAAGCCCCCTCCTCAGAGAGGCCCTCCTGTCCGCATGCCCTGTGTTGGCCTCCTCAGGACACCTCCTCAGGACACCTCCTCAGGACGCTGTCGCTGCCTGAAGTGAGTCCTGTGTCCGTGTGTTTCCCGCCTGAATGTCAGCTCCTCAAGGGCAGACTTTGTTTTGCTCCCTGCTGCATGCCCAGCACCTAGAGCAGCCTCGGTCAGGAGTGTGGCCACTGCTCTGTAAATTCTGGTTGCATAAATATTCAGTGAACTACTGCTGGGTGCCAGGCATGCCCTCGGTGACCTGGATGAACAAGACTCAGGCCAGCCTGCAGCGTTCACACCTCCCGGCTCCCTCAGCACTGCCTCCCCGTTTGTCTTCATATGCGTTCTTTCTTTCACACCTCTAAAAATTACTCATTCAGATCTGCCTGTTTACATGTGACTTTACATGTAACACACATCCCTACTCAGTGCCCCAATCCTGGTTTTGGAGACCAAAACACCCAGTTTTCATGGCCTTTCCGGGTGTGTTTTCATACTCTGTTGTCTTTACGTGACCCTCTCTCACCCCTCTTTTCCTTTTTCCTGGCTATTAAATCCTCTTTATCCCACTGGTTACAAAAGTTCTTATCATGATTCGGGGACCTCTGAGGTCCAGTTCTGGTTCTGGCCCCAGCTGGAAGTAAGACCCTGATCTCGTCACATCCCCTTTCTGGACCTCGGTTTCTCCATTTAGAAACCTGATGATCTACATCAAAAGCTGACTTTCTAGGAGTCTGTGACCTTTTATTTACTAATTTCCCCCTGTCTTCCCTGTACCACTTTTAAAAAATGTGTTCTAGAACTTCCTGATATCCTGCTCTGATTCTGATGGGGTGTCAAGAAGGTGGGGTGTGTACTCACTGTGCGCCTGCATCACCTTCGAGATGTTGAGCCCTTCACGCATCCTCATGACACACACACTGTAGTTGAAATCAAAAGCGTCGCTGGAAAGAGAGGAGGTGGGGTCAGCCTCCCCTTGGCCCCAGCCCCCAGCAGGCCAGGTGTCTAGAGCCGACCCTGCCTCCCCCCATACCCTTCCTCCTCTCTGGGCCTCAGTCTCCCCATCTGTATAATGTGCAGGCAGGACTGGAAAGGCCCCAGGACCTCTCTAGCTCTACCGTCTGTGGCACTATGGATCCTACAGACCCTGTACTTGGGGAAAACTGAGTCAGGCCAGTGTTAGGGCCAGGCCCTGTCCTCCTGAGACATGCAGCTACTCCTCACAACTCTGCCAGCAGAGGTGGGGATGGGAATTACTCTTTCCATTTGACAGATGCAAAACCTGAGTTTTAGGGAGTAACTTGCCCATGACACACACTAAGGAAGTGGCCAACTGGGATTAGAATTAAATAACTGAGGCTGGAAACCCTGAGGACAGGTATGCACACAAGAATGGCCTCGCTCATGAAGACATCAATAGGTTGTCTATATAAATGTCTACAAGGCTCCTACCCCACAAGTATATTTACTGCCTGGTTGACACAGTGCCCAAGAGCCCACCACTAGGGCTAATCTAATAGGCTAAGCACTGCCCTCTCTGGACTCCTTTAACTACACATCACTGGGACAGGGGCCTTTCAGGCCCCAGCAATTTGGAGTTTCGGCATGTTGAAGCTGGGGGTTCCTGAAAAGCAGGTATACACCGCCTCCTATTGTAATTTTGTTAGAGGCAGTGAGATGCACTGCTCAGAGTCATATAGCTGGTTCACAGCAGACCTGGAAGCAGGGCCCAGGTCCCTAACACTCAGCCTCGCGTTCTTTAAATGCTCCTGCACACTGCCTCTCTGTACCACGTCAATGCAGAAAACAACTCAGGTAGGCATTTTCTGGACTTTGCACAGCAAGAGCTGAAGGAGAAAAAGTTTGGAGTTAACCCTAAAATCCCTAGGGAGTTTATCCCCCTGGTCCCATCTCCCAAGCTTGTTGCCTCCTCGGAGGCCTGGTTTCAGAGGTACCACCTCACAGCTTGAGAGCTGGCCATCTGCAGGTCTTCTGAAGCCTCCAGGTGGACACAAGATTTTCACCTAAAAACCCACATTTTCATCTTCTCTGAAAAACTAGATCTAGCAACACTGGGCCCACATTTCTGCCTGGGCACGATTAGCTGGAGCCAAATAGCAGCTGTTCTCTCCAGTTTGCCACAATCCCCACTGCTCCCTAATGCCCATTCTGGGCCCTCTTCACTGTGTTACCTGCCTGTTTCTGCTGATCTTGGTGTCTATGACTCACAGGTCAGAGTGGGAAACCCTCAGACTGTCTTTTTCTTCCTCAGCTTCAAACCAGTGGACTCAGCTTCTTACAGCACCCACTGTTTCCCCCTCTACTTCCCAAGGCCCAGGAAACTCCAAAGGCCCAAATTGCCCTCACTCACTGCAGGATGCCGATGTAGTCTTCCACTGTGGCCGGGTGAGCCGACTGCCAGTTCTTCTTGAACCCGACCACCAGAATGTTGGGCTTCATCCTCCCGAGACCTGCAGCCTGCCGTGGGTGGGGGGTGGGGAGGGGATGAGGTGAGGAACCAGGCCGCAGGCCCCACGGGGCTCTGTTCTGTGACTAGGGTGGGGCTCCATCTCAGCCCCAGCTGTCCTCTCTGCCATGTCATGGGGGCTTAGGAAACACATCTGCCAGTTCAGGGTCCTGTCTGCCTGGACACACCCACGAAAAAGGTGAAGCTACAGCCAGAGTTATTCCCCTGCGGCCTCTCCAAGTCGGGGCCAGCGGCTGGACTGTCCCATAAGTTCTGGATTATCCCAGCTCCAGCTTCTCTAGTAAATTATTTCTTATAACAAGGGACTTGAATTTGGATGTCAAGCTTGGTGTATTCCTGGGTCATCTAATTCTTACATCTTTTATATTTCTCTTTTTTTTCATGTCAAAATTTTTGTTTTTACTTTTTCAGGTGAAACTTACGTAACAGAAAATCAACCATTTAAAAGTGTATAATTCAGTGGCACTTAGTATACTTAAAATATTGTGTAATCATAACTTCGACCTACTCTCCAAATATTTTTATAATCCCCAAAGGAGACCTCATATGCTCTTTTTTCTAATTTTGAGAAATACTGAAAAGGATTCCCCTATGTTGACTCAGAATTAACAACTGTTATTTTATTCATGCATCCTATTTCAAATGAAAAAACTGAACAGTAAAATGAATTGCCCAGTGGAATGTTCTAGAACTTGATCTGACTGGTGGTTTCACAGCACTGAGCAGTGTCTGCATATGTAAACATTTATCAAACTATACACTATTTCAGTTTGCTGTGTAAAATTATATCTCAAAAAAAACAAAATCACAAAATGTGTCATCAGCTCCCACAGGCCTCCAAAGCAGTTTCCCCAGGCCCTGGGCACTTTGAGAAAGTGCCCTGAATCAGCACATCTGGAAAGGCAAGAAAGGCGGTACTCCTGTTGCAGCAAAAGGGGCTTCAACTAGCCCCTCACGGCATCCTGCCTTCCAGGTCGTCACACCAACTAAATTCTGTGAGGAAGCCCCGGGCCCGCGCACCTGCATGAGAATCTGGACACCACTGCGGAGGTCCTCAGCGATGACGTCGGAGTAGAAGGCCTTGATCTTCCTCTTGTTCAGCCACTTGGTGTGCCCGTTGGCGATGAGCCGGAGCTCAGGCATCCTCTGTTTGCGGGGTCCCTGTGGGTGACAGGGGCAGGTGACATCAGGGGTGGCCTTCACCCTCTGGCCTGGGACTCAGACCCTCTCCTGCCCCGGAGGCTGTCCCCTGAGCTCATTGCTGGTTCTCCTTTATGGAATTAGGGGAGGAAAAGCAGAGGAGGTGGGAGAGGGAGGGGTGGAAGGAAGATGGAAGGAGCAGGTGAGAGGCAGGACAGTGTGGGCAAGCCAGGGAGAGGGATGGGGGAGGGAGAGAACCTGCTCTGGGCACGACAGCCCCTCCTGCTGCCCCCGGGGGTGGACCTGGTGCCGAGGGGCTCCTCCAGGAGTACAGCCCCGCCCCCCTGCAGGGGCCACTCACAATGAGCACGTGGCCACAGATCATCAAGCTGAGATTCCGGGTGAAGGTGCCCACAAAGTCCACCAGGGCCGGGCGGAAGTTGGGGGGCCCCGTGAGCACCAGGCACTGGGGGCTGAGGAGGGGAAGGGAAAAGGGTGTGAGCCGTCAGGACAGAGCTGGGGGTCTGGATGCCAAATACAGGTGCCCCTGGAGTTCCACCACCTCGCAGGACTCCCTTCCTAGGACAGGTGAACCACCCTGTGGTCTTCCCGTCTATGATTCCTTTCCAGCTCTCCTGGTGGCCACCACACCGGGTGCCCCTTTTCCTTCCTGCTCAGGCCACCAAATGCTGCATGTGGGCAAACCACCATCTTGCTGCTCCATCTTGTGCTCCTGCCCCGCCCAGCCCAGCAGGATGTGAAAAGAATAAAGACTGGGAGTGGGGAGGCCCATCACTTATGAGATCACTGCGTCACTGGGTGGGTGAGTCAGCCTCTGGGTCAAGAGGCAGCCAAGGGCCATGGTCAGGGGTCCCTACCAGACTCAGCTGGAGCCAGACAAAATGGGCCACTCACCAGCTGTGTGACCTGGCACCAGTTATTTAACCTCTCTGGGCCTCAGTGTTCTCACCTGTGAATGTGGTTAGTAACTTCATCTACCTCAGAGGGTTGTGGTGAGGCTACGTAAGGCACTTTGAGCGGTAATGCAACATAGATACATCCGATTATTAACACGGTGATCTGATGGAAAGGGGGTCCTGGGTGCACACTTTTCCTCACTGAAGAGGGGAATCAGCTTCGAAGAATACTCGGGAGAGGCTCATCACAGTCAGTCTCATGATCACAACACCAGAGCACCCTCACAAACACAGGTGGCCCTGTGTATCCACATCCACAGATTCAACCGAGGGTGGTGGCTGAATCTGTGGATGTGGAACCATGGGTACTGAGGGCCAGCTATGCTAGGCTTTTTATGTAACGGACTTCAGCATCTGAGGATATTGGTATCTGGGGGGTGGGGGTGGGGAGGTGGGGCTGGAACTAATTCCCCGCAGATACCGAGGGACGACTGTATTGTCCTTTGCGTTTGTATTGCCCAGAGCATATTCCGCTGTGGAAACTTAGGTACAGAGAAGTCACTAGACTTGCTTGGTCCCCATTGGGCAGTGTCAGCCCCAGTCTCCTGACTGCTGGGCAGTGCTCCTCCACCCTGTTTCCTCTCTGTGAGGGGGCCGTGCCCACCATGAGTCTGCCGGTCAGGTGACAGGCCTTGGCCTGGAGCATCCCGGAGCACGGTCACGGCCAGCCCTGCCTCCCAGGCATCCGCAAGGCTGCACTCACCGATAGTTCTTGATGTGGTCCTCCACCTCGTTGAGACCCACCGAGTAGCTCAGGGCCAGGTTGTAGGAGCCAGCCTGTACCGAGGAGCCCCAGTTCACCTCTGAGGGGCGTGTGCAAGGTTAGAAGTCATGGGAGAAACCAGACATACATATGTTGACCTTCTTCAGGAACCGAGCACCGTGGGAGCAGGTAGACAGCCTGTAGATCTGTTCCTAACGTTTGCACATGCAATATGGCTACACGTTTAAAAGTTATGCATCAAGCTAATGACTCTACAAAACATTCTCCTCCCTGGACAAAAAGATCTTCACAATGACCTGGAAGGCCAGGTTCTACTTTAGAGCGCTAGGCTTTCCCGGCATTCTGCATCCCACCCCCAGATTGCTGTCACCCTGGGATCCTTGCCTGCATGCATGTAGACATCCCTGCCCACACGTCCAGGCTTGGGCTGGCTGCCCTTCAGTCAGGCAGCCCTCGGTCTGGTGTGCACACCAGTGGGCCGGCCACTCTCAGGAGGATGGACCTGGGCAGGCAATGTCAGGCCCTGTGTGTCCGGGGGGGTGGTCTAGTAGTAGAGGTGTGGGCTCTGAGTGGGCACACTCCCGGGGGCTCCTCAACCCGTGGGAAGGGATGAGGCTGGAGCACCAGAGGGGGGCCCTTGAGAGCACAGCGCCTGAGGCAGGCCCTCCGGCTGAGCTGACAGGCAGGACGGCTTGGCAGCCTCAGGGAGAGAAGGGACGCGTGACCCCCTGGGCAGCCTGTGACCGCACACCTGGCTTCTTGTAGATCACATAGAGCAGGAGGAAGAGGACCACACCGATGGCGATGAGGGCCGCCCACCAGGTAAGAAGGAACATGATGACCACGGAGATGATCGCCCCAAACAGCGCCGCCCACTTGCTGTAGTATCGGAATGAGGGTCTCCACCCTGGGCGGGGGGCACAGGGCAGGACGTAGGCTCAGTACTCCGGAGCCTCCTCCTGGGCCAGCATAGCTGGGCAGGGCCTGGGTGGCAATGCCCGCAGTGCCCAGGGCTGGGGTCCCAGTCTGTGCCCGCCCCCCCACCCTGCTTCCTGGAGCTGGGCTTGGAGGCTCTGGTAGGGCCACACACCTGCCTTGGCTGGCATCCTGCCATGTGAACAGGCTACACCAAGGGGGAGGTGTCCAGCTCTGGCCAAATACGGCCACAGGACATCCAACGTCACAGCAGTGCTGGTTTCCAGGGCTCACACAGAGCCGAGGGGGTGAGATGGAGGGGAAGGACATGATTCTGCCTAGCCCCACACCTGCAGGCCATGCCAGGGCCGCCACTAGTGACAGCCGCTCCACGGCACAGCTCCAGGGCACCATGGTCCATGGTCTAGGGAAAAGGTGGCCCCAGGACCAGCCCGTCGGCGATTTGGGACTAACTAGAAAAAGTCTTCCTTGAGACTCTTTACTGCCATCTGCCAGAAAATTTTCATAATAAACATAAAAATCTATAACATCTATGAGTGGCGTCCCCTGGAGTTGGGCAACGTGCAACCTGCAGCCACCCCGTCTGTGACTGACGATTTTGTTCCCTCTCTGGGGAATCAGACTCCTGACTCCCTTAAAACTGGTGTAGGAAGGCACTAACTAGTAAAGTCTCTGCATACTGTAAACAGTGCATGAATCCATGTATAGTGTACACTGTAGGTGCTTGATAAAGGATAGCTGTTATTACTGTTATTATATGAATGGTCCCTTTAATTGATTTCAATTTGAGAGGTGACCTTGGTTTGCCCACCTGCATCCATGCCTTCCACTCCCCGCTCCATACTCCAGCCCCAGGTGCCTCCCCCCATGAAGGGGGAGGGTCTTGCTTACCGGGTGAGTTGGTGATGGAGGCGTGGAAGCAGCTGAAGTTGATGAGGGCATAGGAGCACAGGAAGAAGTTGGAGATGATGGGGGCGATGGTGTTGAGCTCAGCTTCAGGGACCCAAGGGAGAGAGGAAACAGTCTACTGGGCAACTCCACCAAGGAGTCCTTGGTACCCTCCCTCTCAGGATAAGGGGACCCCAAATGGGCCACCGAGGCTCAGTGAGTCTCAACTTTCTCATCTGTGAAATGGGTCCGTCATTTTGTGAATCTCAAAGTCCAGTGTTTTGTAAACTGTAAACTGCCGGCTCTAAAGAGGATGGAGAGCAGTGTGAGGGTAGATCCCATCAGGCTACGCGATGGCCAAGGACAGTGGCTATCACACTTCTTTGTGTGACCACAAATTACAGTAAGAAATACATTTTACAGTGTGACCCAAGACACATGTTCTCTGTTTTCTGAAACCTTGAGACTGTATCGCAGTTCCACCCACAATGGAAACCCACTCAAGAACCGGCTCCTTCCCTTCCCTGTCTCACGAGCCCCTGCCCTGCTGCAACCCCTGGCATCCCTAGACACACTTTTGCATGTGAATCCTTGTCTCAGGGCCTGCTTCTGTGGATCCCAAAACAAGAAAAACAACTCTTATGTGCCAGGCCTTCTGTACATGAGTCCTTTGAATTAGCACAAGAGCCTTGCCCCAGAGCATTTGAGATCGTGATCCTCCATCTGAGGTACAGTCAGAACCACCCAGATAAAATGACATCGAACCCGAGGCAGGGGTGGACGGCAGGGTGAGCAGAAAACATCCAGGAACATCTGGGAATGCCAGGCCTGACTAGGTGTTTCCATTCCCTGCTTGTGGCCCTGCTGCCTCTTCATCTGGTGCAGGATCCAGGAGTATCTAGTGTCCAGAAAGGTTCCCTTGAGTGGAAGTGGCTAGACCATTGGGTTATGTCTCATGGCTTGGTGACGCCAGCCTAAGTATTAGAGCAGGGATTCAGCTGTGGCAGGAAGGTGCCCCCCCAGCCTGGGAAGGTTCACCAACAGCTGATCCTGACCCCATTCCTGCATAGGGAGCAGGAACCAGGGGTCATCATGCCAAGGCACGGCGATTGCCCTTGCTTGGTAGGGCCACCTCTCTCCTAGCAAGTTCTGCCTCGTTGGCTAAGTAAATCAGGAAGTACTGGGGAGTGTGCACACATGAGTGTGTGCGTATGTGAATGCATGTGTGTGTATGTGTGTGTGTGTGTGTGTGTGTGTGATATATACACATGGTCTCTTCCTGCCCATCTGTGACACACCCTCTATGCATCATTACTCCCATTTTTCAGATGAGGAAACAGAGGCTCTAGGAGGTGAAGTGATTTTTTCCAAGGTCACACAATTGGCATATGGCAAAGCCAGGATAGAAAGTCAATCTAACTAACTGATTAACTGGAATCTTTCTCCTAAGGCAACCCCTACCTTGGAGCCCAAGGGATCCAGCAGCTCAAGGTCTGAGAAATGAGGTTGGTCTAGGTTCTATACCTACAGAGATAGTGATCCAGCTGTTTGTACCAGCTCCCGAGGAGGAGTCAGTCAGCTTGTCCTGTGCTCCCAATGTGCTCCTGGGGGCTAGTTCAGACCTGGGGAGGGAGGTCCCGGCTGCCAGGACACAGGAATGCAGAGCCAGGGAAAGCATGTCGAGCCCTGTCCCCATGGCCCTCACGGCTGGCCGGGAGAGGTGGCAGCCCTGCGTACCCTGTGGCCACTCACCGATGATGATGAAGGCCACAGCAATGGCATAGGCCAGCAGGTAGCCACGCACTGGCTCATTGTTCTTGCCATAGCCTTTGCCGAAGAAGCCGATCAGCGGGTACAGCTGGTCTCTGCACAGGCACTGTGGGCACAGGACGACGGGCTCACCCCCTGGCCGGGACCTGCCCCATCCCCTCCCCTGTGGCCACCTGGACCCCAGGCCCTGCTTGCTCTCTCCGTGACCTCAGCAGGGCACTTCCTGAACTGGGTCCCGGCTTCTGTCTTTTGAAAGGGGACAGATCTCCTGCCCTCCCCACCTCCCCACGAAGACTGAAAGGGCAAAAGGGGCTGATCACATCAGAGGGAAACTGGGAGGGGGTTGCAAACGGGGTGCCAGGCTGCACAGAGGGAGTGAGGGGTGGGAAAGGCAGCTGCTCTTCAAAGCTCGGCACAGGAAGGGGCTGCTTCCTGCAAGCGTTTGCTTTGCTAGCTCCTTTTCCTTCAGTCTAGACACCGGGTCATATGACTCCTCCAGGCCTTTGTGGCAGTCACCTGGGGCCCCCTGCACCTGGCCTCCTAGACACTCCCGCCCCTTTCCACAGCCTCACCTGGAAAACTTTGGCGGCAGAGACGAGACAGGCCAGGGCTGATGAGAGGGTGGCCCCAAAGATGCCGGCCGTGATCAGGGGTGCGAAGCCCGACACCATGCTCATGGTCTGCAAGGACATGGGGTTCGGGCCCCCATGGTGAGGGGTGGGGTCCAGAGCCCCCACCCCGGGCACCCCAGTCCCCGCTGCAGGCAGGGGTTGAGTCTGGGAGCTGCCACCTGAGTCTGCAACCCTCACTGGGGACCCAGTGCCCGCCACGGCAAAAACTGGGCCCAGGCCCCTACCTGAAGCTCTTTTCCCAAGCCTGGGGCCAGCCCCCCAAACCTTGTCTACCCCAGCCCAGTCCAGCCTCCACCCGGCCCTCCCTGCCTCTGGCAGGGCCGCGCGTACCTGGTAGTGGTTGATGAGGCCGTAGCGGCAGCTGTGCTGCTGGGAGCACTCAGTAAAGTTCCAGCCGTAGCCACAGGCCAGCCCGTCGCAGGCGCCTGAGCCGGGGGTCACCGTGTCATTCAGGATCCCGGAGGCATCTCGAACCACACAGGAGCCTGAGGAGGAAGGAGGGCGTGGGGAGGCCTCCTTTCCCTCCCCTCCCCTCCCCACCCCGAAAACGCCAGACGCTTCTGCAGAGGGCGACATGCTGCTGATGGGTCAGCTCTTCCTTTACTTTATGATAATAATGATGATGATGATGACGACGACAATGAGTTTAGCTACCATGCAGGAGCACCTCCGATGTGCCAGGTCCTGTGTTAAGGACTTTAAACGCTCTGGGGAAACAGGTATTACTACTACTTTTATTGTCACTGCCATTCTACAGAGGCACAGGGAGCTTAAGTGACCTGAGGTCACAGTGCCCTCCTTAAAATGGAGAACCGGATCTCAGGCCCTAAGTGGCTAGGACCTGGGCCACGTCCCTTGGCCACCTGCGAGCAGCTAACCCCACGATGTGGCTATTGGGAGCAAGAGCATGTGTGAGGATCTCAGTGAGAGGCGACTGTCAGCAGCCCAGGCCTGGTCCACAGCCCACCTCTACCACTCAGGCTCTGTGACCTTGGGCAGGTCGCTTAACCTCGCTAAGCCCTTGTTTTCTCCTCCGTCAAGTGGCAGAAATGATAGTGCCCAGATTAAATGCAATAAGGCATGTAAAGGGCTGGGCACGTGGTGATAAGTCAGTTGCTAGAGTCATCTTCCTACTCCTCCTCCTCATTGTTTTGATCATTATTCCTGGAGTTGGAACATGACTTTTCCTATAGGATTTTCATACCATGGAATCTGTAACCTGAGGTTTGAAGGGACCAGAGGAGCCTGGGGTGATCCCCCATCTCCACAACAAACTACCCCCCAGGGGGCCCCCCAAATAAAGTTCGAGGCTCCACTTCCTGGGGGTGCCATGTCCTCCTGGCCCAGCCATCCTTGTTAGAGAGCCAGGAGGCACCCTGTGACCCCTCCAGGGTCTGGGTCGGCAGCTTACCAATGGTGGCCGAGATGGCTAGGTAGGAAATGGTGGTCCAGAAAATGGCCATGAGCGTTCCCTTGGGGATGGCTACAGCAGGGTCCTGGAGGAGGGAGGGAGAGAGGGCATCAGGCAGCCCCTGGGCCTCCTCCCAGGCCCTGTCCTTGTCAGGCTGAGGGTGGGGCAGCAAACACTTACCTTGACCCACCAGAACCCCCTTCCCCGGGGCACTGAGAGGAAGGCACCTCGAGATTGAGGACCCACAGAGGGGGACAGGACAGAACCAAGGGGACGGCTGAGACCACATTCAGGGCCCTGGGAGCCCAAGGCAGAGAGAGGAACTCCAAGCAGCCCCAGGCCTGGTCCCCGAGGACACCTGGCTGACGCTTGTTCTGGGGGCTGTGAAGGGTGGGGTGAGGTGGAGGGCTCCCGAGTCAGCCTGCCTGGGGTCAAATCCAGGTGATCGCTGGGCAGCGTGCATGTCCTCCCGTGCTTCAGCCCCTCCAGCCTCACAGGGATGCTGGTGAAACCAATTAATCCTTGTCAAGCTCCTAGACCAGGGCCCAGCTCACCAGCTGGGCTCACTGCGTGCAGTCACTATTATGCACCAGTTGATTTGTCTGGTTCCACAGCAATCAATATATAGACAAGCCCCAAACTCTCTCCTTCCCCTTCGAGAAAGAACTCTGCTGGTGCTTTCCTGGCAGTAGTAGCCGACCTTCACATCCACGTCATGTGTTTCATTCTTCCAGGCACTTTCTCAAACATAGCTTCCTGAGAAGTGGCTGGTGGCGAAACTGAGGCCAGGGAGCTGTGAGCAAGGCCCAGCTCACTGAGCCCCAGCGGCTTGGTCCTGACCACGCCAAGGTCCACAGCTTCAGGCCCCCCGGGGGTGCTGATCCTGGGTGGAGTAACGCAGGCTGGGATTTTTATGGCAAGTTTCCCATCCAGGCACAGACCCTAGCTTGGAGGCGAAGGTCACGTCAGTCATAGGAAGTAAATTCGTAAACCTGCCAGGCTTTTCTGGGCCGTTCTGCTCACCGCTCAGCTGGCAGGAAGAATCACAGGTGACAGAGCTTGGAGGGACCATGACACTGTTCAAATTCACCGGCAAGTCGAAGCAAAGCTGGCCATGGTCCAGCTCTCTGCCTCAGACACTCGGAGCCCTGTGCTGGAACCCATGGTCAATCTGTGATGACCAGGCCCTGAACCTGCCCTTAAGGAGCCCTGGCCCAAGTGGAGGAGGTACAGGTGGGATCCTGCCAACACAGGGCAGATGGTGCCCGCCACAGAGAGGATCACAGTGCACTGGGAAACAAGGTGGGGGAGACACTGCCAGGAACGCTGGAAGGCCTCAGGGTGGAGGGGACGATTTACGTGGCTCTGAAGGCACTGGGGTGGCAGGAAGGGCGCGGCGGGTCAGAGAGAAGTGGGAGCAGAGCTGGAGAGAGGCTGGAGGCTCTGGAGCACCCCAGGCTGCTGAGGTCTCTGCTCTGGGGGCCCTGCGACTATGGGCCAGCCAGCCCTGCCCTGAGTCCCTGGTCCCAAGGCCAACAGACCAGGTCAACCTCCCAGATCTCCTATGGTGGGTGGAATAGTGTCTCCCAAAATTCACATTTATCCAGAACCTCAGAATATGACCTCATTTGGGAATAGCATCTTTGCAAATGTAATTAGCTAAGATGAGGTCACACTGGATTAGGTGGGCCCTAAATCCAATGACTGGTGTCCTTGGAGAGGAGAGGACACACAGAGACACACAGAGGAAAGAAGGCCACATGAAGACAGAGGTAGAGATTGGAGGGATGAAGCTACAAGCCAAGGAATGCTCAGGATTGTTGGAAGCTACCAGAAGCTGGAAGAGGCAAGGAAGGATTCTTCCCTAGAGCCTTCAGAGGGAGCATGGCTCTACTGACACCTTTTTTTGGACTTCTGGCTTCTAGAACTGTGTGAGAATAAATTTCCATTGTCGTCAGCCACCAAGTTTGTGGTAACGTGTTATAGCAGCCACAGGAAATGAATACACCAGGCTTCCATCCTACCCTCATGTCTCGGCATGAAATCTCAGAGCCCAACTCACAAATCAGGCATATCTGGGTCCACATCTTGCTTATCTCTTCCTGGCTGTGTGCCTGGGAACAAACCCTTTAACCTCTCTGAGCCTCAGTGTCTCTCCCCCGCTATCTGTGAAATAAGAAAGTAGCCTGGCATGTAGCCAGCACCTGTAAACATAAGCGGTTAGGGGTGGGGACCGTAACGCGACACAACCTGGGACAACACCAGCCTGGCACAGATCCCACGGCAGTCACTAGGAAGTCCCTTGTCTCTGAGCACCCATCCCCCGCATCAGCAAATTGAGTTAATAATGATTTTCTTGGCCTTAGCACAGGGTGGTTGTGAAGATTAAACCAACATGAGATCATGGTCACGAGACTGCTCTGTAAGCACTAAAGGGTTGGGGGACGTAAAGGATTAATAGTAACAATGACAACTTTGTCATCACCCCTTTAGGTCTCGGCTCACATGTCACCTTCTCAGGAGTCTCTGGTCACCTTGTGTAAATCCACACCGTGCTTCTGCACCCCTGACCCAGGGATTGCCGCCCCACTTCTCTGCTTGATTTTTCTCCCCATCGCTCAACCACCGTCAGTCAAAATACAGATTTTACTTATTTATTTGTTGATTGTCTCTCTCACTAGCATGTCAGCTCCATGAGGGCAGGAATTTGTGTCTCTTTTGTTTACTGCTGCATCCACAAGACACTGGCCTCAAAGCAGGTGCTCAAAAAATATTGGTTGAATGATGGAGTTGTTGTGATAAAGTTGAGGTCTCTTTGTTTTAGAAACTTGAATTCCAGATCCTCTGACACCTGTGTGTGGGACCCTGGGCAAGCCCCTAACCCTCTCTAAGCTTGGTTTGCTCGTCTGTAACATGGGAGTGATGATGGTAGAAGCTTACAGCTGTCCCACAGATACTATTTTTAAAGAAGGAGGCACCGTGCCGGCCACATGGTAAAAATGACATTGACCTTGACAACCAGCCTTTAGCACTTCCTCTGGGCTGGGCACTGTTGTAAGCACTTTACGTAAATTAGCACGTTGAATCCTTGCTCCCTGCCCTGGGAAGCCAGGGCTGCGTGAGTCCCAGTTTACAGCTGGGGAAGCTGAGGTCCAGAGAGGTTTTAAGGGACTTGCATAAAGTCCCCATGAACGGGAGCTGCTCTTCGCTGAGGACTTACTGTCCCACTGGATGGGCAAGGGGCCAGATCTAGGAGAAAAGTGTCCCTTTAGGGCTTGAGGGCATTTAAGACAGAAGAAGATGCCTGCCCCTGCCCCCAGCTCGGAGACAGCTGCCTGACCCTGATGCCTGCACACTGGGCCGGTTGGTAACCTAAGAAGCTTGATAAAGCATCTAGATAAATCCCCAGGCTATGATGATCTATAACGGGGCTGGGAGGGGAACCAGGCCACCTGAGCACAAGCCCGAGCTCTGCAGAGAACTTGGGGCAGGCAGACCAGGCCCCTGCTGGCTGCTCCCCAGAGAAGGGAGAGGAGCCGGGCAAACACAGCCTCCCTCCGATTTCCAGGTCCTGCTAGAGCCACGCTGCAAATCGAGATTGCCTCCAGTGCACAATTCTTAATTCATTTAAGAAAATGCATCAGGGAGCACCTTTCAAGCGGGACTGAGATGGAGGGTGAAGGTCCCCAGCACAAAGCCAGGCTTCTCACTGTTCATCCCCACTCGTGTACCAGCTCCTTTGATAACCTCCCTCTGGCAAAGATGCCGCTGGCTTTCTCGTCTCTCAGAGCCCAGCTTCAGCCCCACCTTCAGCCAGAAGTTTTGCTGGAGCCCCTGCCACCTCAGTCTGCACTTCTCCCCCACTTGTGCGCATTGTACTTCTGCTCTAACACTTCCCATTTGCCACATCCCACCACTGTTCACTCAGCACACAGGCACCAAGCACCTAGGACGCGTCAGACCCTGAGCTGGGAATAGGGACATAGAGGTAGGCCCCAGTTCTCCAGATGCGGTGGGGCAGAGGCATAAGTGGCCTGACATCACTAAATTAGAGGAACCAAGACTCTGACAGAAGGGCTGGGAGAGGTGTAAGGATGGAGGCTTTAATTTGCAGGAGGAACAGAACTTTACAAGGTAAAGAAATGAGGAGAGCGAGTCCCAGGTAGAGAGCACAGCAGAGGCAAAGGTGTGGAGGAGGGACAGGGCAACAGGGGCAAAGCAGTAGATCCTCAGGGCTGGGGCAGGGGTCATGGGAACAGCAACAGTTCCCATGGGGCTGGGGCCTCACATGCCGTGCCAAGGAGCCTGCCCGCATCAAGACGATGGAGAGCCCTGGGAGGATGTGCCCGATCCCGTCTGAGTTTTGGAAGGTCAAGCTGGGTCAGTCTTCCCCTTAGGCTGGGAGTCCCAGGATCGAGGGAGGAGACTAGCCCATGTGGGGGTGGCCCTCAAGGCCTAGAGTGCAGTGGTGCCAATCAACAGCCTCAGGATGGAGTGGGATGAATGGGATGGATTTGGGTTGGCTTGGATTGCGTCATACAGGAGTTTAGAAGCTGTGGCCCTGGGGTCTCAGGGCTCCGCTCAGTGCCCAGTGGGACATCCTGGTAGGATAGGGCCAGGAGGCAGGAGGGCTGGGCGTCTTGCTCACCTTGAGGTCCCCGGAGATGTTGGCTCCCGCCAGGATGCCCGTGGCCGAAGGGAAGAAGATGGAAAACATCCCGAAGAAGCTGCCGTCCACGCCCCGCCAGTCAGGCACCAAGTTCTGGGCAAAAATGTCCGCTGGAAAAACAAGGCCTGAGTCAGGGCCTCCTGGAAGGCCTGGGCACCCTCTCTGGGCCCAGCCGGGCGGGCAGGAGGTTCCCATGGCAGCTCCTGGCTGTGGGGGTCGGGGGTGACAGCCTCCCCATGTAACCGAGCAGGACCCTACGGGGCCTTCCCAGAATTGACCCCCACCCATGTCCTCTGCCTGCCTTTTGTCTGTAGATAAGCTTTAGTCAAAGAATACATTTAATCAGAGAAGTGAGAACATGCAGGAAGAAAACAGTCAAGCAAGACAAAATAATAGTAGCTTAACCATTAAACAAAGTCAAGGACTTTTAGTTCCTCCTCAAGGGCTATAGATAATATTCTGGGCCAGATCCTCTGAGCTGTTTTGCAGCTACTCCCCATCAGGTGGGAGAAGTTAACTGCGTGCTGCCCACAAGCACGTAGATCCCAGACCAGCTGGAACCAGAAGGCTGATGATGTTGACTCCCGATTACCTCACCACCAGCCAATCAGAAGAATGTCCACCAGCTGATCACACACCCCACACCCCCCCCTCCCTCACTCTATCTTTAAACACCTTTCCCTGAAAGCCATGGGGAGTTTGGGTCTTTTAAGCACTTGCTGCCCTGGACTCCTTGCTTGACCCTGAAATAAACGCTGCACTTTCCTTCACCACAACCCAGTGTCAGTAGATTGGCTTTACTGCACACGGGTAAGCGGACCCAAGTTTGGTTCGGTAACACCGGTGCCCACATAATGGGCCAGATTGGTGGGCAGACTGTCCCTGTCCCCAGAGCCACGGGCAGTGGCCCCAACCCGCACGTACCCCGGTAGCTGAAGAAGCCTTTGGAGGCCTTGTCCTCAGAGGGGGGGATCAGTGTCCCAACCAGGTAGTTGGCAAAAGAGACCATGATGACGAGGAAGAAGAGCACCTGGGCCTGGGAGGAAGGGAGCCTGGAGGTCAGACGGTCTGGCTCCGCCTGTTCAGGGAGCCCCAGCAGGGAAGAGCTTGCCCCAGGTCCCTTACTCTCTCATTCATTCATTCATTCACTCATTCAACACCCATTACTCCACAGGCTCTGTTCTAGGAGCTGGCGACATAGCAAGGCTCCTGTCTTGCTGATAAATAAGGAGGATGAATCTAGAGTAAGAACAGGGGGTGTCCCGGGGACTGGGTTGAGGCTACTTTAGCAGGGTGGCCTGAGAAGGTGTCTTCAAGGGTCCTAAAGGAGGAGGATAATGGAGCAGCAGAATGATGGGGGCATAAGCTTGGTGCATTCAAGGAACAGTGGGGAGGTGGTGGAGCTGGAGGTCAGAGCCAGGGGGCGAAAGGCGGGGCGGCCGGCGCCTGGGCTGTGCTGGTCAAGGCTGCCGGCTGTGGCCCAACATCTCTTCCCTTATTTCATGCTGAACCTCTGACTCGGGGCTTGGGATAGGTTCAGATGAAGACCACGTTTCCCCAGCCCCCCTTACAGTGAGGTGTGGCCATGGACCATGTTCCGGCCAACGGGAAGTGAGCAGAAGGAATATGTACAACTTCCAGGCTGGGACAGAAAAGGAAAGGGGAAGGGGATTCTCTCCTTTCCACCCTCTTTCCCCTTCCTGCTGACTGGGCTGTGGACATGGAGGTGGGGGCCGTCATGGGCCAGGTGGATGAGGGCCACAACCCAGGGGTAGAGAGGCCACAGGATGGAAGGCGCCTGAATACCTGGTCCCCAGGGGCCACACACACACACACCTGGACTGTTCCATGAGAGAGAAATGAACGATTCTGGCTTAAGGCCCCCTTCCTTAGGGTCTGTGTCACAGCAGCAGAACTTAAAGCTCATCTGACACACACAAGAGGCAGAACCAAGACTGGGACCAGGTCCTGCGATTCCCGCTTCCGCACTCAACCGTGCCCACATCCCTCCCCAACATCCTGTCCTTACCTTGGACTCCCACTCCATGCCAGCCAGGGAGATGGCCAGCAGCACAGTGACGGTGACCACGCCAACGATGCGGATGTCGTTGGTGGGGTCCACGATGGGCGAGCCGTACTCCTGGGGGAGGTGACAGGCTAGGCTGCGTGCTGCCTCTGAACAGCCCACCCCACCCCCCAGGCTCCTCCACTGTGATTTACCTCATTTATGGTTGCCCTCTCATAGGAAAACACAAACTCAAACTCCTCCCCTGCCCACAAGTCCTCCAAAGCAGCTACTGCATGGGTCTGGACAATTTGGCCCTAAAGGCAACACGCAACCCTGAAGGAGACTTCTGCGGACGGTCTTTATTTGAAGAGATCATCAGAGTCACCCACAATGATCGGACTGTAGCTTTGGTCCCTAAAGGCCAAATTGGGTAGAGGGGCAGGAAGGCCCGGCCCAGAAGGTGTGGAGGAGAATGTGGCAGGCGGCCGGGGCTCTGTCTGCCCGGGGTCCAGCCCCTACCTCACCTGGAGCAAGTCCTGCACGGTCTCTGCGAAGCCCACAGTGTGCATGGCCACACCCACAGCGTTGGCGAAGGCAAAGATGAGGCCGATGGAGCCCCCTAGCTCTGGGCCAAGACTCCGGGAGATGAGGAAGTAGGTGCCACCTATTGGGGACAGAGCCAGGAGCCATGAAACCAGAGGAGTCACCTGGCTGGGGTGGACTTGGGGCAGGCAGAGCTGAGGCTGGGAGGGGGTGAGCATGGGGCCCAGGGGGTTCATGGAGCAGGAGGCAACCAAGGCCATCCCATCCCATAGGTGTGGAGAGCCTGCCCGAAGCCTACATCTGGAATCAACAGGGGCAGCCTGGGGTGTCCCTGTCTGGGTGGGGGTGGAGGGTAGGGAGTGGTTCAGAGACCCGTTCCCGGGGTGAATACTCGGGGACCTACACGAGGAGGACCTTGGGGCTGGGGAGGGGCCCACCTGACTTGACCTTGCCGTTGGTGGAGATGGCCGAGATGGAGAGGCCCGTGATGGAGGTCACCGTGACCGAGAGCAGGATGATGATCCAGGTCAGGACTGTGGGGGTGGGCGGGGAGGTGATCGCCCCAAAACTCAGTCAGGGCATTTCTCAGAAGGAGCCATTTGAGGAGCCTGAATCAGCCAACTGATTCACCACATGACCTAAGTCACTTTCCTTCTCTGAGCCTCACTTTTCTCATCTGAAAAATGGGTCTCTGTCTACCTCCTGGTGTATTCTAAATAGCCAGGGAGCTGATAAGCCAACATGTAAAGAATCATTACGTATGGAAGGGTAGGTATCCTCTCTTAATAATAAAAAATAAAGTAATAGTTACCACTTGATGAGCACCTCTGGGTGCCAAACCCTGTGCTGTTTTATGTGCATCAGAGGAACCCCACAATAGATCTGTGAGGTGGGGACAGTTATTGCCCCCATTTAACTGATGAGGAAACCAAAGCTCAGAGAGGTTAAAAACTTGTCCAAGGTCACACAGCATGGTACAGAGCTAGCAGCTGGTCTGTCCACAGTGTGAGTTCTTAACCCAGATGCTCTGCAGAAGAAACTTGGCTCCAAGAGGTTAAGGGACTTACTGAGGGCAAACTGAGCCAGGGAGAGCCCCCAGGCCTGCTGACTCCACGTCCAGTGCTCCTTGGCCACACTGCCCTGATCTCTGTAACCCGTGGGCTCTGTAACCCAAGTTCAAGATTGCTCCCGTGGAGCCTGGGAGGACCAGGACCCGGGCGCACCTTCCCCCTGCCCCCCAGAGGCAGCACTCACCAATGCCTGCCTGGGCGGTAATCCAGGGGAGCCGCAGATAGAGGATCACACCCCAGATATTGAGCATGCAACGGATCTGGGAGGAGAGGGGGGTCAGAGGCCACCTGGGGGGGCTGAGTACCCCAAGGCCAAGCACATAAGTCCCTGTCCCCAGTCTTGGCATGGCATCGGGCACCTAGGGGACACCTGGGTTCTTTCCTTGCTTCACCCACTTTAGTGGGTGCCCACTTCAGTGCCTCTCTGGTTCTGTGGGGCAGGGAGGGGAGGGGTACCCAGAGATCCACCTGTCCCTCCCACCACTCTCCTATCCTCCTTCCATCGAAGCCTGAGGATGGGCAGCAAGCATTATCACCCCTCACCCTGCTCCAAGCCCAGGGTCCTGTGTCTGCCAGCCCCATTCATGGCCCAGTGGCCAGCTGTTGGCCCAGAGCCTGGCATTCAGGGGGAACTCAGCAAATGCCAGCTGAGCCAATGCCCTACATACAAGCAGAAATCAGGGCTCAGGTGGCTTTGACTTCAGCTTCCGAATTTAAAGCAAAGCCAGACGCCACAGCTGAGGCTGGAATCCCATGTGGGAGGGGCTGGTGTGGTCTTTGGCCCCAGCCACGTCTTGGGGTGGGGGACATGTGGCATTTACAAGCCCAAGGGGATTTCTTTTTTCTTTCTCTTTTCTTTTTCTTTTTTTTTTTTAAGCCTTTAAAAATTTTTTGAATGTAATTTATTTTAAAAAATTGAGGTATAGTTGATTTACAATATTATATTAGCTTCAGGTATATAACATAGTGATTCAAAATTTTAGGCCTGGGAAATTTCGAAGGCCCTGCATATGCTCTGAGGTACTGAATGGGCCCACACCAGGCTCTGGCCACCACAGTGAGGGAGGGAGACCCAGACTCCGGGGCCTCTGGAGCTAGAGGGGGGTTGACTGTTCAGATGGAGAAAGAGGCACAGCCAAGCAGGCAGTTGGCAGAGTTAAGGTCAGAACCCAGGCTTCCTGCCTCCCAGAGCGGGAAGCTTTCTCCTAGATCTCATGCGATCCCCTCTGTAAAGTGCCATAATGTCTTCCAAAGCCAAGTACATTAGATTGTTTGCTATCTTGGGGTCTAAAACAGCAAACCTTCTCCTTCCCATCGTGGAGAATGAGAAAACAATGTTGTGGATTTGTGTTTAGTACTGCCCTCTGGTGGCTCTTTGGGGAAACACAGTTTCTCTCAACTCCAAGGTGGGCATTCATCCAAGCGCTTTACATCTATTAATTCATTGAATGCTCATCATTTCATAGACGATGAAAGTGAGGCATAGACAGGTTAAGTAACTTGTCTAAGGTCACATGATGACTGAGCAGACAAACAGAGATCTTCCCCAGGGTTAGGTCTCAGTCTGGGAGGTAAACGGAGGTCAGGAAGTACAAAAGCAGAGAAAATTTGAGGTCACTAGGCAGAAGGGGAAACTGAGGCCCGGGCTGAGTCTTGGGTCTGCCTTGACTACTAAGGCCCGAGAGTCCAAGCTGAGCCTGAATGGAGCTCTGTCACCCTACCCCCATCCCTGAACATCCCATCCACGCCCCACTCACCATCACCCCCTTGACCCAGCCAAAGCGCACAGGCTCCTCAGGGTTCTTCTCGCCGTTGGTACCTGCCTCATCCTCCACCAGCCCATCGGTCATCTCATGGCTGGGCCGGCTGTCAAAGGCCAGGGCATGCAGGTGGCTGCCTTCCTGCTGGGAGCGCAGAGACCGTGGGTCAGGCAGGCAGGGGTCATGACAATCCAGCTCCCCCGCCTCCCCACCCTCCACCGTCCAGCCTCCCAAGCAGCAAACCAGCAAGCCCCGTCTCTGCTGCAGACCTTTCTTACCCTCCTCTCCCCATCTCCTTTAGGTGAGTGTAAACTCTGTAAACTTCCACTGACCGGGAGCTCATTACCTCTCTGGGCAACCCTAGATTGCTTGACTGGGTCGCCAATGACTGGGCAATGAATATTACATGTGCCCAGAGCTTTACAGCTCCCATACCCGCATTCCATGTGGGCCTCTCAACCCATGAGGAAGACACCTGTTTGTCCCCATGACACAGATGACAGAGCCAAGGCTCAGAGAGGTTAGGTAACTGGCCAAGGTCACACAGCAGGAAGGGCCACTCCTCTGGGACGGTGTTTACCTTGAGGAAGGAGTGCAGGTCGGCCAGCGTGGGCCGGGCCTTTCGGGGCTCGCCGGGCAGGGTGCTGTTGGCATAGTGCTCGTAGGCAGGCACCACATCGATAGTGTTGTAGCCAAAGGTGCGCATGTAGAAGGTGCTGCCGTGGGTCAGGTGGCTGGGGTGGCTGCTCTCATAGGCGGCCGGTGGGGGGGGCTCATCGCCCCCCAGCAACGTGCTGATGGTGAAGCGCCCACTGCACAGAGCAGGGTCCCTGGGCATCTCCGACACCGGCAGCTCTGCCATTGTGGCTCTGGGAGTCGGGGGAGGGGGCCAGGGTCGGCGGGGACACGCAGGGTGGCTTTATAGGCTGGGGCCACAGCAGGGAGGAGGCGGAGAGGTTGGCCCAAACCGCCCACAGCTGGCGAGCAAGGTCCCTGGACAGGGTGGGAGGCAGAGCACGTGCCTGATGCTGTCCTACTCACCATCTGATCTTGGAGATAGCAACATGGCCTTGGACTGGGAGCCGGGGCTGGGTCAGCAGAGAAGGGGGGCATGCCCAGCCCCTGGGTCCTAGAGAGGCTCTTCTGAGTTTGGGGACAGTGGACATCAGCAGCCGGACCCTAGGAAGGAGTGTTCACCAAGAGGATCCTTAGGGACCCTACGAGGGTCCCCAGAGACAGCCTGATGGCCTGAGGACCCACTCCACGCAGGTTCAAAAACCTCTTGTTTCAGTATATGGTATTTAGTTTTATATTTTGTTTATTTAGTATGTTCGAATAGATGAACGGTATGACATTTAAAAAGATACACACACACACACACACACACACACACACACACACACACAGACATATATAAAAGGTTAGTCTCTCTTACTATGAGAGAGGTAGTGTGGTGGCCACCTGATGTGCCACCAGAAAAGAAGCACAACCCCCAGCTGCTGCGAGGGGTCTCAGTGTCAGCTCCTATGGCAATGGCCTTGCCTACGGCTGAGGTCCCCATGGAGCTCTCATCCAATGATAGGTGCGGGATGCAAAGGCCTGATGCCCTGCCCCCAGATCTGAGGAGCCACCCCACCTCCAGAAGTCCCCAGGGTCAGCTGAGGCTTTGTCTACACAGCAGCCCACTCCTCCCTCTGTCCTGTCCTGCTTCCTTCTCCTCTCGCCAGAGGTACTGACCCCAAGAGCTCTACTGGTGAGTGCCCTGCAGGCTCACCTTTGTCTCAGAGTCTGCTTCCTGGGGGTGGGTGGCCTAAAGCTCACAGGAAAACCACTCATCTCTTTGTTATCCCTGCTGCGTTTTGCATCTTTCAGCCGTTCAACTAACAAACCTTATTGACCATCGACCATGTCATGGGTGGAGACAGGAGGCAGGAACACAGACGGCGGGCACAGGCCTACGTTCACAGGGCTGCTGAGTTAGTGGGGGAAACGGACCTGGAAAGAGACCAGCCCCGCTGTGTGAAGAGGGCAGCGATGGGAGAGATGCACATGGAGGAGGGTCAGGGTGGGGACAACCAGGGACAGGACAGACCCCTGACCAGAGTCTTGGAGGACAAGCTGCTCTTCTGAAGGCAGGGGATGGATGGAGCCCTCAAGGCCACCACCAGCCACAGGCCTCTAAGCTTGGCTTATGCCCAGGCTCTGGCCCTCCTCCTGAGGGACACACTTTCTCTATCTCCCTGCCCTGCCTCTCAGACCTGAGCTGGGCTCTCAAAGCTCACCTACGTCCCCAGAGACCAGCTCTGAGATGCTCAGAGCCCCCCGGGGCTCCATGACGTCCATCAGCAAGTCAGCACCAGTGGACTGAGAACTTGCGGGGGGCCTGGCTGGCTTCTGCTGCCCCCTCACTCCTGGTTCAGAGGGGCCCAGGACAGGAGGAAATGCTCAGACTGTGTTAGGGTAGCAACCTGCGTTAGGGAATCACCCCTCTAAGATGAAGTGCTTCAATTGGGGTCCAGGAGCCCCACAAATTTGTAGACAAGTTTTCATACCTAAGTGCATTTTCCTGGAAAGGGGGGCATAAAGTTCATCCAACTTGCTAGAAGACCAGTCCACGGGGGCAGGGATCTGGGCCCATCTTGTTCACTGACATTCCCAAGCAGTTAGAACAGCACAGAGCAGGTCCTCATTAAACGCTTGTTGAATGAGTAACGAAGGGAAGCCAGAACCAAAGAGAGGCTGCCACAGAAACCCTTGGCTGACAGAACTACCCCGGGGGTGGGGATGGGGACAAAGGGTAGGTCCTCGGGGTCCTCCCAGCTCAACCAGGCACAGAGGTGAGCTGAGGACGGCTGGTCCTCGATGATAAACCCCAAAGATTATGATCACTGTGCACTGTTTTGCAAAGTTGATATATTTACTATGTGTTCAATTCTTTAAAAGACTCTTCTCGGGGCTCCCCAGACCCCCAGACTCGCCTACTCCCTCTCCAGGACGTCTGGCCCCTCCTCAGAGAGGCTTCTGTAGGAGGGTGTCCCCAGTCCCAAGCCAGCTGCCAGCACGGGGGAAGGCTCCAAGGTGAGGACTCCAGGGCCAGGACCACAGCTGTGGTCAGTTTTCCACCTTCCCTGCAGCGCCCTGCCCCATCTGCCAATTACTCCTTCCCTCCCACGGGGCCTCCGGGTAGAGCTTACAGACCTTATCGCCCTCTCCATCTTTAACTGCCACTTGACTGGTGAAAATCACAGCTGCCCAACACCCCCTTATGCTGTCCCTACATACCCTGTACCCGGAGCAGCTGTGGAAAATTCGTGATTAAGATCTCAGGCAAGGAAGTGGTCAGAGGGACCAAGGCTGGTTTCCAGCAGCACTGGGGCCCCGGCAGAATGAGGGCCCACAGCTTTGCTGGATGACCTTGAGCAAGCCACTTCCTCCCCCTCTACAATTCCCAGGCCTGGGTCAGCTCCAAGGTCCCTTCCAGCCCTGGAGGGGAGCATTTGCTTTTTCGAGAAGCCTTTCCTGTGCCCCCCATACCTGTATGTCTCTGGGTGGGGGGATTTAAGCAGGACCCCTCAAAAGGCTTATCAATAGGACAGTTGAAGGGACTGTTGGAACTCCTTGTCCCAAAGCACAGACGCCAAAGAAAGGGGCTTCCTGCCCTTGGATGGAAGTCCATCCCTTTGAGAAATGCTCACAGAGGCACTCTTCTTGATGGGAGCACCATGTGGGTCACACACGACTCCTGCCGTCCAGGGCTTCAGCTGCCAGGTTGCCCAGAGCCTGTCAGGTCTGAGACCAGGAGTGGAAGTTAGAGGAACCCTGAGTGAAACCCTGGGATTTGGCCTCAGGGGCTTTCAGGCTCCCATCTCAGTTGTCAGTTTCTCCAGGGCTCTGAGCAAGTCGTTCCCTCAGCCCCCTCTGCCACCACTTAAAAGCCAAATGGAAATGACACCTACATCAGGCTGGCTCTCACTCACTCAAGGGCCCCTGGCTGGGTGACTTAGGGCCCCTGGACTCTCCCGGATCTCGGAGGAGGAAGAATGGGGTATTAAAGGAACAGAAAGACTCAGGAAACTCCCTGGAAGGGAAAACCCCAGGCACAGGGGGCTGAAATGGTGAGGACAGAAGGGCCTGCTGTCTTCACAGCCACTGAGGCACCTAAGCCTTTATGCACCAGGACTGGAACTCACAGCCTAGCCTGGCAGACTAACCAGCAAGGAGATCGCAGCAACTGGCTAGCAGAGGAGGGAGGCTGCCCTGGAGGAGGGGGAGCCTCGAGGGGAGACGTAGGCAAGGATGGAGGGGGTTCTGGGTCATGGGGGCCTGGGAAGGCGCGGTCAGTGGGAGGGACCAGGTGGTGGGACTGGAGCTCACAGTGCCATGGTGGGCGGGGGAGGGAAGAAATGGTGGGAGATGAGGCTGAAAGTGGTCCGATTGTTTCTTCAGTCACTCGCATTTATTGAGTGCCTACTGCATACCATACCCTGTGCTAGGTAAGGAAGGCACCACGGGGAACAAGACAAAGGCCCTGCCCTCCTGGAGCTCACATTCTAGTGGAAGAGACAGACAAGCAGTAAACAAGCAATCATCATGGTACATTCAGTGATAAGTGCTATGAAGAAAACAACGCTTTTTTTTTTTTTTTTTTTAAAGGAGGGACATTTAGGCCTCTCTGAGAATGAGAATTTTGAGCTGAGATCCAACAATAAGGAGGAGACACCCATAAGTGAGCAGGTGTGAGCACAGGGGTTCCAGAAAGAGGAGAGAGCATGTGCAAAGGCTCTGGGGTAGGAGTGTGGCTGGGGATTCAAGATGGCAAGGAGGCCAGGATGGCAGGAGCCGAGGGACTGAGGAGATGGGTTTGAGACATGGAAGGGGGGACACCAGGCCTTATAAGCCAGGGTTAGAAGTTGCACGTTCTATTATATGATGGTCAGATTTATATTTTTCAAAGTTCACTTTGGTCATTGTGTGGAGATTGGATGGAGGGAGGCAAGGGCAAAGCACGACTAGTGGGGCCACTGTGGGTGCATGAAGGTGGTGGCCGGGCCGGGGAGTAGATGTGGATGGCAGGGTGGTGAGAAGTGTTGGGAGTTGAGATATATTCTGAAGGCAGAGCCGATAGAACCAGCACACGGATTCATATAGGACAGGAGTTGGAGAGAAGAGGGGAACAGGGAGGACTCTATGGGGGAAATGTGGTGTCATTTTTGAGTAGGGACACCTGGCAAGGAGGGCCTTGAATGCCAGGGTAGGAGACTGGCCTTTGTCCTGGGGGATCAGATCTCATCTGTTTCTGGAAAGCTGGTGGGGAGCATAGTGGGGTGGTGAGCAGTGCCAGGAAAAAAGAACAGGGCCAGGGAGGGCCAGGAGGGGCTCTGGTGACAGTCAGGCAGAACAGACAACTGCACAGCTCTGAGCCCTCGGGCTCATCCCTGACTGCACACAACACTCAACCATCTCACTGGGGCCTCTGACAAATGCTGACTCCCCCACTGGAGATGCTATGGGCCTGGGGCTGAAAAGGGGGTGAGGGGCCGGCATCAGTATTCTTAGAAATCTCCCCAGGTGGAACTGGGCAGTCAGGCTGAGACCCAGTGGGCTAAAGAGAACAATCTTTCACACGCAGACTGCCCACCCCCACACCAACCCCCGCCCCATCCCCACGTCCACATCCGCCCCGGTCCCACGAGGCTCGCCTGGAGAGGATGGGTATGATGCAACCCTGGTGTCGTGAAATAGCCGGGTAAGAGGATGCGCTGCTCGTCGGCCTGATTCACAACACCAGCTGCAGCAACGATACCAGAACTCGGCGAGCTTCCTCCTCTGGATGTGGCTCCGAGGGTTTGAGGCAGTGATGACAAGCCTGGGCAAACATCCTCCCCGACCGATGGCTGCCCTGGGCCAGCACCATGCAGAGAACCAGGGCCGCAAATGATGGAGGCTGGGTCCCTGCCCACAGGGGGGGCGCACAGACTTGATGGTAGTGAGGAAGTGGGGAGCAGACACAAAACCCTGTATACAGTGTAGGGGGAAGGGCAACAATGGA